ATTGATAATACACACACCAATGAGAATAGGGTAAGAAAGGAAATTTTATAAAGTAAACTGGATTTCACAAGTTCGGTACTAATTTGACCTAGAGGGAGTGTGGTCCGGTATAGGATGTGTAATATTGATACTAGGCCCCAAATGGTTACCGTACTTGGAACCAGGGATAATAATCAATCTCGCTTCGGTAAAGTCGGTTAGCGATTTTCGGTGTGAGTTATGGTCAGTAGAGACCAAAGTTAGGAAAATGTGGGGCATTACATTGCATTCCATGCATACTAGTTGATGAATGCTGAAAAATGCGCATTTAAACCCCTTAAGCTTAGGTATTGTAGGACCTTTATTTATCTTATTTTCCCGCCTTAAACTAATTTCATGTTATTGCCCTTTTCAGGCACTTATCCAAAAAATAAGTTAATTCAGTCAAATAAGAGCATTAAAGAAGCAATCTCAAACTGAATGGAAGAAAGGAACAAAGTGGAAGTAAAGTGTGGAAAAATAGCAAGTTCGATCGATCTCAACAATTCTTCAATCGATCTGGAGGTGATCGATCTAGACATTTCAAGATGGATCCAAGCCTTTGTCCTTATCCAAAAGATTCCACCACCTTCGATCGATCCAACTTTTCTAAGATCGATCGAAATTGTTTGATCTTATCCTCATCTACCACCCCACCTACCACTTTTATCTTTTTTTCCAAAATATCTCAAAATATCTTAGAGATTTGTCTTTATTCAAAAAGGCGCCGCCAAGGATGATCGAACTCTGCAGCATTCAATGGATTTCACCTAATTCGATCGATCTCATCACAGTTCAATCGATCGAATCTCTTCAAGTCCGAAATAAAACAAATTCCAGCTCATTAAAAGTTGGCTCGTGGTGCAATCATTGTAAGGGCCCTAGTGCAATCATTGTAAGGGCCCTAGTGCAAGAGTCTAGACCATTAGGTGTGACACTTGAGCCTCCTATATCAGGATTTGGAGCCATTTTAAGAGTAACATTCATCATACTTACACATCTCATATCACATATCTTGGAGAGGAGGCTAGAGACTAGAGAGAGCTTTACACATTTTGGGAGTTCTTCCATTCTTCTAGGGTTTCCATCAAGAAGGAGGTCATTCCTACAAAGGAGATAGCCCTTGAGGGTTGGATGACTACTTCAATGAGTGGCTAGACATCTACTTGGGACTAAAGTAGCCCCTAAGTTTGCTTCCTAGACTTAGTGTTTTGTATATTTTTGGGGATTTACTTGTAATAAATGTTTTGATCTTGGATTTATATATATATCTTATGGCTTCTACTTAATGTGTATGGATTGATGCTTTCAATTGATTATCTATTTCTAATCATATGTCTATGTATGTTAGAATGGATGATTCATGTGCTTTTCATGGAATTTATGCATGTCTATGTGTATGGACGAAGTTAATCTAGTGATGATCGAAACATAGTGTTTAATTGAACACTCTTGTAATTTATTTGATGGTTCACACTTGTTTCTTGATGGATTGTGTAACACATTTAGCTTACTTAGTTTAATTTCCATGTCTTTAGTGTAGATGTAGTGTACTTGCTTTAGATTCATAGATAAGTGGACAATATATTCTTATTCCTCGGTGTTCCATACTTATGAATGAAAAGGGTGTATGTCTCTAGATAGTTGTGTGTGCATAAATTGTGGTTTCATTGAATGGATTTTGGTCTCATTTAATAGGTTATGTTTTCCATTTGAATTAGCTAGACAATCTATACTTATTTGTCATCCATGCCTAGTTTTAATTAATGTCACACACACACACAAGTTACAATTCAATTTCCCCATTGACATACAATTGCTAGTGTCTAGTGAAGTCAAGCTTAGTGGTGAGCTCTAGTACCCCAAGTCTTCTCCTCTATATCTTTTTCCCTACTTTCTAAATTGTTACCTTTTACTTGCTTTAATTTCAATTGCATTGTAATTTAATCAACCAAACAAACAATCTTTTGATCACTCGACCTACTAACCCTATATATTGTTTCCATTGCAAACACGCCCACAATCCCTTGGGACGATCTCTACTCACTCTATCTATATTTTTAGTTAGAGGTAGTAGTGGCATTTATAAATTTAAAACTTGGCCACATTGCACATTCACATTCTTAGCACATTTTTAGGCTTTGGTTCGACGACACACCAAGTTTTTGGCCACTTATGTTGAAATGCCTAAATGCTATTGCACGGTTTCAACCAATCCTATCTTTTAAATAATCATATCATCATTTTGCCTTTTCACATTTCCTTGTCAATTGGTAAGAAATTTTGCCTAAGAAAATTCAACTGTTGAATCGAAGATCCGGCTTCACCATAATGTTTGAAATATCCCAAAACCTCTTAATACACCTAGAGTCGCACTCATAATTAGAATATCCAAAAACATTAGGGTTGAGAATACGCCCTGTTGGTAATTGTATGCTCTGGCATAACGAATTCTATTTGGATTATAAAGACTTATGTTCCGAGCTCATCTGAAATTATATTTTTCTTTATACAATTGGTGAATACAATGTATTATGTTTCAATTCATTAAAGAATTGATGTTATCCACTTGATTGCACTTGAGATTTATGTGCATGTGGTGGCGTCTAATGCAAGTATATAAATAACAATCATAAATAGTTTATTGTGGGTAATTAATGATGAACTTTTATATTAACTAAGATATGAATCGAATTCACGATAGGTTGAAAAATATCGGGAGAGTCGTCGTATGCAATTACTTTCTATCACTGTTATGATATTTCACCCTCAAGTATAAGAGAAGTATATATATTTTTTATTAATTAATAATTATTTTGATTTATTCGACAAAATGTTTAGGATTCTATGACCGACTCATTGAGTAATTAGTTAATTAATAATTAAAAGGTTATATGTTCAATATTTGAATCGGTATTACTTGTATTTACTTTGTATGGTAAAGTGCAAAAAAAAATTTCGTTATATAAAATGTAAAATTACCCCCTTGTTGTTTATAAGGCTCCTTACATTTTTCACGTGTAAATAAAGACAAATCTTGGATTTTGGGCTAATTGAATAATAAAATGACTAAAATAACCTTATGGTATAATATATATTAAAAAAAATTAGGACGAATTATAAAAAAAAATCATTGACTATTAGCCATTTGCGAAAAATCTCTTATGAATATTTTTAGCAAAAAATAACCTCAACTATCACATCGGATGTTTTTAACTAATATCTGTTTATATGATTTTATGAGACAACTTTTTTAGACAAAATTACCCCTCAATAGCAAATACCTCTATTTTGTCATTTACTGGCGCCATGCTAAGAAATCATGTTATCTTACCAGCTAAGAAATTGTCGTCAATAATTCTCCACCATTGTGCAACCTACCCATTTTATTTCCAATTACTGAATTATCCCCTGGTGTTAATATTAGGACCATTATTCTTGCATTAATGACTTACTACAGTCATGTCAGTTTGGTCAATCGTGTCAGTTTGGCCTTCTCCTAACATAATCAATAACAAGTATGACACTACTTCAACATAGGTCATAACAAGTATGACATTACTTTTCTCACCGACATGTAATAAAAACAGTGGCAGTTCAAGAATAAGACAATTAAGGCCGTCACTAAAGCCCCCAATAGGAAAAGAGAACTCATATATCATTATACTTATATAAAATATATTTTTAATGAATTAATTATAGTTGGTGTATCGTATTAATTATTAAATCAATACAATATTCTCGCTGCTAGTCAACATACGAATGTCCACCAACGGCACTGGGCTATCCGAAATATATATACCCCCACTTACTCATATAAAAATTTGAATCATTAATCGTATTTTGAAAAGTAATAAAATACTACTAGACTATACAGCCATATCACTACTGTTTAAAATTTTGTACCTCATAATATACTAACTATTTTATACGAGATTTCTAGTACAATTAAATTACTATCAATTAAGTTAAAAAACGTAAATAATATTTTATATTTTTTTGAATTAATTACAAGTTAAGTTAGGAGGATAATTTTTAATAAAAATTATTAGAACAGTGTGAAAAAGACCTCCCTTTAAGCCACAAACTGTATCACTTTAACCTCCTTAATTGTTCTCTTTTGTTTGTTTGTTTTTTTGTATCTTTATCTAACGTGCATCTATAATTTTTACAATGTTGTCTTGGTATGTGTATTATATGTATCCATTTCAATATTTCTCAATCCTACACTTTGTGACATTGATTATGACAAATTTTGAGATATGATTTATTTTTTATTTTAATTTTTTTGACAGAAAAACTTGTATTCTTTTGGAGATTTAAACTCCTACTTTTCACTTTGAAAATTAAAAAAAATATCATTATATTACAACTCTTGTAATTGAGGTAAAAATAGTATAAAAAATATATATACATACAAGATTTTGTATTAAAAATTTATTTATAGTACACTTGTAATTGAAGTATAATTTTTTATTAATTGAGCATAACTTTAGCCTTATTATTTGAAAAAGAAAAGAAAAGATAACATTTGCATTAAAGATCCGGGATTTAAAATTCGAAATGGGGTGACCAGAAAAAAAACAAACAATCGAAATGGGATTCCTACTGTTTAAATTCAAAGGAATTACTAAAAATACGAAAAAAAAATAGTAGAATTCATTAGAATTTGTAAATTAATTTAGCTTAGCCTGTAAGTTTGTAATGTACCTAATTATCATTATTTTTAATAAACATAAAATTACAATTGTAATTAATAAAAATAAAATGATAAATTAAATTCCAACTTATTTCAATAACATAAATAAAATTTCATTTATTTTTTCCCTGTCAATATCAAATCTCAAAGGAAAAAAAAATGGTTCGAACACAGCTATAAGAGACAGACATTCGGCTTCTAATATTAGACGCGGTAAAAAAAAAAGGAAGTGGACCCCACAATTTACATAAACTCCCAAAATAGAATAGAAAGATTCTACACAACACTTTTTTTAATCAGCAAAATCGAACCTTTACAGGTTCATCCTTCTTTCTCTCTCTCTAAAAAATCTTTGTTCGTTTATCCAATTCTTACATAAAATACTACTAACAATCTTCTTCGTCAGCATATATATCTTTCCTATTTGTAACTATATCTATACATACAGTACTCTGAGAGGTGTTTTTTTTTTTTTTCTTTTTCTTCTCGAGATTCAGAGAGTTTATTCTGAAAAATTGAGCTGTTGAGTTGGGAAATTATCTTCGATTGATTGATTCGAGTGAGTAGTGAATGATTTGATGGCTGCGAGTGCGAACCCATCTGGGAATAATCAAGAAGGTTCGAGCAACGGAAATGGCGCCACCAGTAACGGTAACGGTACTTCTCCGGCGGTGCCTGAGAACACGGTGGTGGCCCCCACCCAGGCGGCGCTCAGGCACAACCCGGGTATCTCCGTTGAATGGACTCCCGATGAGCAGTCCCTTTTGGAGGATTTGCTCACCAAGTCAGTCAAACCCACCTCTCTCTCTATATATACATACACACATACACATGTATAGATGTTTAATGTTTGAAGGTTGTTCTTCTATGGGGTTTTCTTTGAATCTATGTGGATTTCTCTTCCTTCACGTTTGATACACCATATGGTTTAACATTTTGAATTCTCTCTTATCTGTTGTGGGGAATTTTTATTTTTATCTTTCTCTACGAGTAAGGGAAAATGTCTTTATTTATTATATATATATATTCAGTGTGTGTTTTTAATGTTAAGGCATGCCATTGTAATACATTAGATGTAAATGTTATGTATGTATGCACAGATATAAGAGAAGTATATGTGATTTTGCCCTGATTTTTTAACTGAGCATTGGATATTAGTTTGGGTTCTTTCTATTGAAAAAAGTGTGGAAATTATAAATTTAGAAACCTCGACTTAAAACGCAACAACCTTAACTATCTAAGCCATATTGCTTTGTGCTCTTTTTTAGTCACTTTTTCTTTGGTCAGCATATGATTATATACTTTGTAATCTTTTTTGTCCTCATCACGGGTTTAGTAGCTTTACTTGTGTTTCTTCAGTTTTAGAGAATGCATATTAAATTGTTGTGGCTATCTAACTTTTGCAGATATGCCTCAGAAAGCAATATAGTCCGCTATGCGAAAATTGCAATGCAGTTAAAAGATAAGACAGTTCGAGATGTTGCATTGCGCTGTAGATGGATGACTGTTAGTTCTCAACTCCTGTGCCAATATATATATTTTTTGATAAGTTTGACTCCCAATATGTCATTCAGATTATGTTTTTATTGAATTTTGTGAAACCCATAAAGAATAATTCATAGTTTAAAAAATCATATTTGAATTTAGCTGAATAGAATCTCTTTGGAACCTAGACTACATACTGATCAACATATAGTGTGGATTATTTATTAAGATTTTGATCATATCATGCTAACTTCTAAGACAGCAATCAAGCCGATTGCCGAGCAAGCATCTAGCTATTTGATCTTGGCTCGATCAATTAAATGACAATTTGAGCTCAAGCTCCAGCCAGCTATGTGTGTTCAAATTTGGTACCTTTGGTTCATTCAGCCTATCCTGATTGCTCAAAGTTCGAGCTTCAGGGCTTGAGACCAAGATTGATAAGGAAATGTTTTGGTAATAAGTTAATAACGAGCCATGTCCAGAAGGCCCTTAAGGTAATTCATGAATTTGCTTGCAAGTCTAATGAGCCGAGCCATGGGTCATAAGGACTAGGCTCGTTTATTTAACGGGCTAAAAAATGTTCTTTGGTGCGAGTTTGGCCAAGCACTAAGCATTGGCTTTCTCTAATTTCCAAAGCATTGATATGGAGACAAGGCTAATATCCACAAGTCTTGGTATTTTTCATTTATTTTATAGGAAAAAATGGTGTTTATATAACATAAAGTGGTCAACACAAAAATTTACTTGTTTTAAAGTAATAATGTAAAAAAAGAACACAATTAATGATTTTATGTACAATTGTCTAATTAATTTGAATTTTGTTTATGATTGTTAGGTGCATTTCCAAGTAGGTAAATCACGTACGTTTCCCATGAGGATGTCCAAGTGTCAAGTGTCCGACATGGATGACTTTACGTATTTATAAGAGTCCATGTAATATAGCTCTAAAATTTTAGATTTTCAAGGTTGAACTATTGAAACCCATTTTTTAAGATTTGACATGTTCATTGATGAAAGCATTATTGACTTAATACTTATAAAAAAGAAAAGAAAAAGAAAGCATTATTGACTTGAGGTATAGCCAAGACCCAAGTCAAATGATGATAAGTTTTTTTTTTTTGATAAGTAAGAATTTTATAAAAAAACGCTTAAAGGGGTGCGAAACCCATGGAAACAAGATGAAAAGGCCACAAAAAGCCTCAAGCCTTCAAAGAGGCCAAAAAAATAACAATCTCCTCAATAGAACGATAATCTCTCCCTGAGACTCAACAAAAGAGAGTATAAATAATAGAGAACTTAAGCATAGAAATGGATTTCTCCTTGCCATTAAAGTATCTCCGATTCCTCTCAAGCCAAATGCACCACCAAACACAGAGAAAGGTAGCCCTCCAAGCATCCCGGATGAGCGCCCCAACTGAGGTACCACTCCAAGCCTCAATCAACCTTCTAGAGGAACATGGCATAACCCAGGGGACCCCAAATAACCCAATCATCATATCCCAACAATCTCTGGCCATACTGCAATGCAACAAAAGGTGATCCACTGTCTCCTCATCGCGTCAACACAAGTAATAGCGATTGATAACCACCTGCTTTCTCCTCCTCAAATTATCCTGGGTTAAAATCCTACCCAAGACAGACGTCCAAGCAAAGAAGGCCACCTTAATGGGAGCCTTGGAGCGCCAAATAGCCTTCCAAGGGAAAGTGCCACCCGCCCCAACAGAAAGGCACCTGAAAAAGGATTTCACCTCGAAATGACCCTGAGAGTGAGGACTCCAATGCCAACAATCAGCCTCCTCATGAGAGATCACCTGTCGATATAGTAACTCCAAAAAACGAGTGACCTCCTCAATTTCCCAATCCTGAAAATGCCTCCTAAACTGAACGTCCCAAGTTAGTCAAATGATGATAAGTATTGAAGTTTAAATACTTATATGAATTTTTTTATTTTTTTTTATTGAAGTATAAGTAGATTTATTGATCAAGTCAAGTCCACTATCATCTGAGTTATTTTAACATTTAAAGATAAGGCAGCAGAACTGACAACTATTTGTACTCACATATTCTCATACTCGGTGCATTATTGTTTTATACTTCTTGTTATAATGGACAGAATATTGGAATGTTGGACAATCTTTGAACTGTCATTTCTTGTAATGCTAGTTTCTTTGCAGGCTTCAGAATTGTTAAGAGTCTCTCATTCTAAAATTCAGAAAATCAAAGAACCATCATCTATGTTCTGTGGGTGCACCAGCCACCCACCGAGTTTTGAACATCACAGATTTGCAAAATGTATAAATGTCACATGTCTAGAATATGTTGTATAAATGTCACATGTCTAGAATATGTTTGTTAGTCAATTCTATATATTGAAAGCATACATCTATTTACGCTAGGACTCTCTATGTATGTAAAAGAAACATGTCGGGTAAACAATAACAGCACAGTGAGCCCCTTACAAAATTGCAAATTCTATATATTGAAAGCATACATTTATTTACATCAGGACTTTCTGTGTATGTAAAAGAAACATATTGAGTAAACACTAAAAGCACAGCGAGCCTCTTGCAAAATTGCACGGTTATGATGTAACATCCTATTTTATGTAGTCCAATTATCAAATTGGTAGTATGTTATTGATATAAGTGACCTGGGTGTTTAACCTCATTTTCTCTACCAATGTCTTGTAATTCTTTGAAATGTCCTACAAAATATTATCAATGTTGGGAGCTGATACTTAAGTACTTGACATAAATTGAAGTTGAAATATTGGGAAATGGGTTTGGGTCATATTGCTATATTAAGGCACATTTGTGAATTAATGCATTTGAAACACCTTTGCCCTTTTCTCCCTTTTCAAGCTAAACTAGGTAAGAATAGTTTCTGTCATTCACAATCTTATTCATTGCTCATCGACTTATGTTCTATTGTTGCTTCAAACTTTTATAATTAGTTTCACTTTCTTGGTGGCTGAAGCACAAAAATGAATACACCCCCAATGTTGTAGGCTTATTTTTAGTCTATACGTGCAACTCTATTATGATTCAGAAAACTTTGTCGGCTGTAAGTCTGTAAATTGCTTTATACAATTGTCAGATTCTCATCAGGTAAACTGCTAATGATTGTAAGTAGCTAAGCCAATGCATCCTTACAACTTATTAACTGCATGATATTCTCGAGTCGCCTAAGATTCCATTATAACCAAGGTTCAAGCCTATGGTCTAATAATGGAAATGTGTGCCTACAAGAAGAAATCTGGTAAAATTTATTTGTTAGTCATGGTTGTAAATTTCTCAAGGTTAAGAGACGTAGTGAAGAGTCTGAAATAAATTCTGTCAGAGGGTTATTAAAAGTTCTTATGTATGTGGAGTTAAATGAGATATTTACTTGTCTTGTTAGTACAAAAATTGTAATGACTTGTCTTTTTTTTTTTTTTTTTTTTTGCATGAATTTGTTTGTTTTGTTTGAGGGTCGTTGCTTGGTTCAGAGGTAAAATGCTTGAGCATTAGTGCCACTAGTGCGAGTTTTGAGCCTCAGAGCAGGCACTTTGTAAAATGTCAAAAGTTCGGTTTGTTTCTAGTCCTCCCTCCCAAAGCTCGGGTGGGACCAGAACTGAGTACTGTCCTTTTCTTTTTGAATTTAGCTTTCCCTTTTTTTTTTTTACTTGAATTAGTGTAACCATCACTTGGTTAGAATGGTTGATAAATTAAGGATTGTCAGTGTTTGACAGGATTTATAGAGTAAACATGCATGCGCGAGCGCGCGCACACACAAAAAAAAAAAAAAAGATCTATAAACAAACTCTTATCTCTTATCCAAAAAAAGAAAAAAACTCTATCATACCGACTAGCTTGGCTGGAGGCTGATGATAAGAGCAATATTTAAAGTAGATCTTAGCTATGACTTCGTTTTTATTTATTTTAACTAGTTAATAGTAGCGGTTCTGGTATAATGGTTTATTTTCTTTTCTTTTTCTTTTTTTTTTTTTTTTTTTCTCTCCTCCTGTAGAAAAAGGAAAATGGCAAACGAAGGAAAGAGGATCACAGTTCAGCAAGGAAAAATAAAGACAGAAAGGTGTGTACTAAAGTTGCCTGCTATATCTTTTTATTTATTTTTTTCTATTATGCATTTGCATGTCTAGGAACAAATGCATGCTTCAGTAGTAGAGCTGGAGCAGGATTAGGAACAGGAACATGGTGTTTCACATAATTGGAATGGGTCTATCCATTTCTATGCGTGAGAATGATTTTCTTTAGTAATTGATGATTAATTGATTTTAATACATAATATGATTAAAAGACATGAGTTTCACATTTACTTGCAATATAATAATTTAATATCAAAGAAATAGATCTAAGGGTACCTTGTGCAAGTGAAGCTATTGATGTAATATGGTTCTTTCCTTGACATCCTTTTACTAAGAAACTCTGTCTTGTTAGAAATCAATTAAATTTTTTTCATTTTTAATTCTTATGAAAGGAAAAACTAAAGGAACAAATAGAAAATAATGTCACCTTAAATTTTTTAGCAAAAAGCTCGAGCATATTAGCATTACTTTAACTATGGGCAGGAAGCTTGATTAAGAAAATTAAATGTTTCAAATATAACATCTTTTCCCCCCCTTTTGGTTTGAGGATCTTATGATAGGTTTGCAGATGAGGTGTAGACTATGTAGCTATTGTCTCTAGGTTGCAAACTAGTGGCTCTTTGGTTCATTGGTGGTTCTTCATAGTTTATAGTGGCGTCTTCATTGTTTTTCTAAATGATGACATTGACAAGGTAGCCCAATTTTTTTTTTTCTTCTTCTTGTGAATTTCAACCATTCCTTTTGTTGTCTTCCAAGATAGTTATGAGAGTCTGCAATGAGTGTTCCATTGCAGTTGAGAGAGGTTTTTCTTTGACTTTGGAGGGTGAGAACAGCCACTTAAAGCTTCCTAGATGTTCCCTTGGGAAGTTGGAAATTAGCTAGTACCCTGTGGTCCCCATTATTCGAGAGTGGTAGGAGTGGTGGACTAAGTGCAGTTCTAATCTTTTAGCATTATTTGCACAAAGTGGCATTATATCCTACCAGTTCAGTCGTTGGACACATCCATTTTTATTGTTAGACAGTATTGGCCCACCTGCTCTTTCAGCGCCAGATGTTACTGCTCACCTGTTCCAGTTGCTCAAGACTGCCCTTTGTACCTTCAGCAGAAAGAGGTGGTAGTCCCTCTTGGTTTGTTTGATTTGCTTAATTATTGCACATGGTTTGGAAATGAATCCTTTTGTATTGTTGTGCCTTTGAATGTCGTAAGATTTCTATTGCCTACTTTTACTCAAATTGACAGATGGTTTAAGAGAAAAGCTAGTTTTAAGGGAAATTGCAAGTATATGGTGGCCACAGTTGGTGTCTGTGGGGCTCAACTAATTTTTGGGCAGTGGGGATCCGTATTTAGACTCTATTTTCACTTTTGGATTTATCCAGGACCAGGCCCATGCGGGTGTTGTTTTCCATTATTTATGCCTTTGTTAAGCTTGTAGGGTTTGTGGGGCCCATTGTAGGTCTGGACACCCCTTTAATTAATTTTGGGCAGCTAAAGCCCTTGAGCAGCTTAACGGGAAGCTGCTTCATATGCATTTGTTTCAATTCACCATGTCGTCAAGCTTTCTTTTGTCAAATTAGTATATTTACCATTTCCTTGATGCCGTCACAGATAATTAAAACAAACGTAGTAAGGAGCCACAAAATAAATCGTCTTAAAGTCATCTGAATAAATTATTTTATGACTGAACTTGAAATCTTCCAAATTGTATTGTCACTGTGGTACTTGATTGCCTCACCAGCGGCTTCCATGCTTCGAGGCAAAGTAACTAAATCCCATCTCTTGTTGTTAATTCAACTTTGTCATATTTCAATCCATCGCGTGTTTCCACTCAAAGGTGTACCTGCCACTGACGCAAACTCCTAGGAGCTCTATTTAATTTTGATTTCTGTTTATCAGGAAAAAGTAGCAGATCCTCTGGCCAAACTGCCTCATGCTACAATCCGTTCCAATGGTCCTTCATATGCTCAGTCCATGATCTCTATGGGCAGTGATGATGGTATCTCGTATGAAGGTTGGTGCACACTCTCATCTACTAATAAGATACAGAACTCCAGTGGAAATTTGCAAAGGGGAATGCTTGTTCTTTTCTTCTTTCTTTCTGATATGAATGCTTTTGGTTTTAATTGCAACAAATTTTTTTACCCTGAATAATTGCAGCAATTTTCTGCTTCTTGTGACTGTTTTATGCCGTCTTTGTTTGAGAATTTTTATAGATCTTTCTAAAATAGTATAATTTATATATAGAATACAATGTTTACGCGTTTCCTGTTTTCGTAAGTGATCATCGAACCTTCGATCCTAAATGTCAGTCAAAGTGTAGTTGTTACCAGGAGTCAACTAGACTTGGAAATGGGCTTGTGTAAATGCGTTAGCCGATGACTGATGGAGTAAAAACGCAAGGTATATAAAACACAAGCGCGCGCGCGCACACACACACACACTCCAGGAGGTTTTTATTTATACGTAGACCATGCGTCAATGATAAGGAATGTATGGCGCACTTTGCGATTGTAAGTAGATTGCAATTCTATATGATATAGTTATTTCTCCGAGTATTTTATAATTAAGAAATCCGTCGGCAAAATTGTCACCATAATGGGATCATTTCATGCCAACTGAGAATGAATCAAATCTGATGCTTCTATTTACCTGTTTTCTGAATTGTTTCTATGGAACCAAGGTTGAAAATATTGAAAAATTCAAATCTCCACAGATATGGCAAAACCCATGTTAAAATACAAATCTGAGTAATCTTAACTAATCATGACCAACTTTGAGTATAATTATTTATTCAAGAATGCAAGTTCAAGCAGAATACAAAAAATATTGTGTTTAAAGTTTAAAGGATAAAAAGTTCAGCCAGAGGATGATCGCAGTTTGATCTAATGTAATTAGACCTGCATTTGGTTCGATAATAATCGGTTTTTATAAATTTTTCTTTAGAAAAAAGGTTGAGTTTGACAAATCAGATTCGACTTTGAAGGATGAATTTTATTAGTTTCTATAACTGGATTTAATCAGGTCAAGCTTAGTTCAAACTTGGAACCTAGTCAGTCTCTTTTGCAATCCTTGCAGACATACAGATAGGATATTAAATGGGTTCTGATTAAGATATTTGTTAGCTAAAGGAAAAGAACTTCCTTTGTTGTAAAAAGTCAGAATGTTGATTTTTCCTTCTTTTGTTTTTTCAAGCGATTCATAATATGTTAGCTTTTGTTGACCAACAAATATTACACATATGATTAAAGTACTTCAACGGTCCGGATTTAAGCCACTCGAGAATCTAGATTTGTGCATCCACGAATAATTCCAATTCTGGATCTCTGTCTTTCAAAATGTCAAAGGAAGAAATAAGAATCAGATTCCCAAGTTGGGAATTTTGAAATGTAGAGTTGTAGAAAGTTACATTAAATTGAAGGAAGTGAAGAGAAAAACAGAATATGAGTGTTCGAGAATATCGTAGGAGTGTTTTAAGCCTATGATAGAATATTGATTGGAGTGATTTATGGAATTGATTTTAGGAATCCTTCATCAATGTATTTTCTATATTCATTACTTGTATTGTTTCACGCTAAGTTACACAATCTTTCTCAACGGGTGCCGCTCTCATGCTCTGAGTGTTTTCCTGTTCTCACGTTCCACGTGCACTCTCGCTCTCATTCCCACCATGTGTCACTTAAATTTTTCCATTTTCGCACTTCCACTCTCGAATTCGCTCCCGCTCCCATTCCCGCACCCTTTGGGCTTTTTGTGTGTATCCTTTTGTTCTTTATGTTTAATTTATCTCTTCAACTTTTATATCTATAACATGGTATTATACCCTACTCTATACTTTACTCGTCTCGGATTTTCGAATCAACTCGTCTTGGATCTCCGGATCAATTTGTCTCGGATCTTTGGATCAACTCGGCTTGGACTCTCTGACAATTTCGTATTTAGTTTCAAGTTGGACACTTGTGTTAAAATCTTTGTGTACCAACTTGGGAAGGGGGGGGGGGGGGGGGGTTTGTAGAATGTCATAGGACTGATTTAAGCATAAGATAAAATATTGGTTGGAGTGATTTATGGAATTCATTTTAGGAATACTCCATCAATGTATTTTCCATATTTATCACTTGTATTCTTTCACGTATAAATAGAGGCATTGATTGTAAACAATATTAAAAGAGAATATAATACAGGTGATGTAGCCCTTTGGGCTTTGTTTGTGTATCCTTTTGTTCTTCTTGTTTAATTTCTCTCTTCAGCTTTTATATCTATAACAATGAGATTAGCAATAATATTGGTCAGGCAAGGCATGTCAAGGATGTCATCTAATATAGTGATTTCCAAGATAGGGTTTAGAATAAATACAAGATAGAAGGAAAACAGGAGAAATATGTAAAGGCTTGAATGAGATAATAAGAAAGGGTTATATCTGACATCTCTACGCCCATATATTAACATTAGTTAGAAATATAATTACTTATCAAATCCTAATAATTACGCCCACTAATTATGACAATAATTTCGTGGTCAAATCCTTCTAATTACGCCCTCAAATCCCATTATTCTAGTCTAACATATCTTGGCAAACACTCCCCCTCAAGTTGGTACGTGGATATCTGAGATGCCTAACTTGGACAATGCATCTTCAAACATCGTCTTGCTAACACCCTTCATCAAAATGTCTGCAAGCTGTGGAGTGCAAATCTGATCGGAGATGATTTTCTTTCAAATGAAGAAGTGCCGATCAACTAATCAAAATGTCTCCTCATATGATAAACAACCAACAATGTCTCCTCAGATCATTTCTGTTCATACACATGTTTAAAATATGTAGATAGAAGAATCAACAATGTTTCCTCATACCATTCTCCTTCATACACATGTTTAAAATATGTAGATGAAAGAATCAACAATGTCTCTTTACACTATAAACAATCAACAATGTCTCCTCAGACCATTCCCCTTCATACCCATGTTTAAAAATATGTAGATGGAAGAATCACCAATGTCTCCTTAGACCACAAACCATCAACAATGTCTCCTCAGACCATTCCCGAATGGGTGGTGCTGAACTCGTAACACCCTTATTGTGGTCGGACCACCCTAGCTCTGATACCAAGAAGAAATAAAAGAGAAATATCTAAAGGCTTGAATGATATAATAAGAAAGGGTTATAATCTGACATCTCTACACCTATGTATTAGCCAGAAATATAATTCACAATAATTACGTAGTCAAATCCCACTAATTACGCCCACTAATTATAACAATAATTACATAGTCAAATCCCACTAATTATAACAGCAATTACGTGGTCCCACTAATTATGTCCTCAAATCTCATGATTCTAGGCTAACATTTCTCGGATAACAGTCTCCCATTCTAGTGCAGAAGATCTAAGAAATTCCTATCTTCAGTTCTTTACATTGTGCAACTTTTGAAGATAAAAGAAGGCCACATTACATAGTTGTCCTGTTACCGTGAAGAAGAAGAATGTTGTGTAAAATCGGGATATGTTTTTGAGGTACTTTACAGCAGAAACCTTTTAGTGGAGTATGAGATTGATTCAACTGTAACTTCCCAGTGAGAAATTTACTGACCGTGTCTCTTTTCTTTTTAGATTCTTTTCACTAATAAGTGATAAAATTGGACATGACATAGACACGCTAACAAGGCAAATATTTAAAAAGTAGGAGACAACTGTGGTAAGGACATAATAAAAAAAAATATTTATATATATAGAATTATATTAAATACAAATAATATAATTTTATTAGAAGTTAATATCGTGACATGAAATTTGTAACATATGAATTACAATAGTTAATAATTGTTCATGTGGGATGGACAAAAGATGCAGACTAAGGAGTAAAGATGCGATTTACATGTGCATGTGAGTGTATGCATTAAATATTTGTATGTGTACTACGTCATTAATGGGACGATTTCTGTTTCTCCATGCACACTTTTTTGATAAAACCTTCGGTTGTCGTACTTCTTTTATTAAATCTTAAGGGGTAAAGATACTATAGTTAATAACCTTTCAGGTAGCATGGACAAAAGATGCAGTAAGGAGTAGAGATACGATATGTATGTGCATGTGCGTGTATGCATTAAATATTTGTGTGTATAATTTACTGTAGGTGTCAAATAGCTAGCCACGTGGCTCTTTGAAAAGTCAAACAAACATAGTCACGTGGATGTTTGAAAAGGCAAAGAGGGCCCATGTGGCAAAACTCTCAACACGTTGGCAAAGAAAAACCCTAGCATGATTAGGTCACTAGACCTCAAGCACATAGCTCTTGAGTCCAATGAAAAACCCTGATATCAATGCGAGGTCACTAGATCTCAAGCACATGGCTCTCGAGTTCAAAGAAAACCCTGACCTCATGCGAGATCACCAAACCTGGAGAGCACCATTCTCGAGTCCACAAAAAACCCTGCTAATATGCTAGGTTACCAAACCTCGGGAATATCTTTCTTGACTCTAAAGGAAACCCTGACATTATACCAGGTCATCGAACCTCGAAGTTGTCAAACATCAAGTCATATTTGTTAAGTATGGAATGAGACATGGGTAGGGCCTTTTCACATACTTACAACTACTACACGGGACACTTAGAAGGATTTTGGATCGGTGTATGAGGAGTCAGTGCATGCGTAAAACAAGTAATCAACCTAGCCAAAGAGATGGTAACACGTGCTGTGACAAAGACCTTTACAATCACCATTAATTCTCTGCTTAAGGTCATTAATGTTTCAACCACCGCCGCTATTGCCTAGCTGAATGCATTTTATGTCCGGATTAGAAATTTAACATGCCACACCACACTAAAGCATGGTGAAAAGAGGGAATTGACCCCTTAGGTATTTAGAGGAATTATGACGATACTAGGTAAAGACAAGATGGATCGGGTATTATCTAGAAAGTCAAAGATTATAATTACATGCAACATGGTAGTTGTAACGGGCTGGGTGCTTCGTGGTTTGGCCCAAAAGCTTAAGTCATTAAGTGGTGCTAACACCCAACCCATTTATACCCATTTCACTTCCCATCCGGATCCAATGTGGGACACCTCTAACATTCTCTCTCACCTGAACTCGCAACATTCTCGTTGAGCTCGGGCCATCCTGCCTACCCAGGGCAGCACACTCACACACCTCCGGATTGGGCGCTTGGTGTGACACCGGATTAAGGACTCTGCTTGGCTTTGATTTCAATTGTAACGGCTTGGGTGCTTCGCTATCCAACCCAAAAGCTTAAGCCATTAGATGGTGCTAACACCCAACCCGTTTATACTCATTTCACTTTCTTTTTCCTTGTCTATCCATTTCACTTCCTGTGTGGATCCGATGTGAGACACCTCTAACAGCAGGCAATAAGGGAGAGAAAACTCACATTAACTCCCATAGCAACAACACTGTCACAGACACAAACATCCTTACCTACACCATAAATCCCATTGGCTAGTCTACTTTTCCTCCTCCGTCAAGATCACCTCTCTGGGTTCCTCAAATTTGTGTTTGACATCTCCATTTATTACATCTCTTTTAGTGCTCTAATAACAAACCCCTGCATGTACTTCATGCATTAATGGGACAACTTTTGTTTCTCCATGCACACTTCTTTGATAAAACCTGCGTTTTTGTACTTCCCTTTTTTAAATATGCCCAAATAAGTCTCTAATTTGATTTTTCTTATTGATACTCTTTCCATGCCAATAGAAAGTTTGCATCTCTATTTCCAAAGTTTGCTTGTCACATGTTGCAAGTGTCTTAAAAGGTCCGGCTGCATCTCCAAAGTGTGCTGGACATGTATTCTTGAGTGTCCTAGAAGTGTTGTTGTCTGATAGTCTAACTCATTCATAAAAGTATATGCTCCTTAGTTAGTCAGGCTCTTACTAATTCTATTTAAAAGTGATAAAGATCTTGTACATATGAGGAAATCCCGAAGTCCCAAACTCTGATGTTCACATTAATTGCTTTCTCCCGTGAGTTAAGTAGCAACTTGAATACACATAGGCACCTTCAACCTTGATATAAAATATATCGTGAGTAGGAAAAGGGAGGCAGACAGCCAGGAACGAGGGGCATTACCTAGTGGCCTAGTTAGTACAGTGCCCGGCTCCCCAAATGGGTGTGCCCGTGTTCGAATTCCCCTCCCCCTAGTTTGCCAGGAAAAAAAAAACAGGAACGATGCATGCATTGAATATTTCATGCTCTGAATTAAATTCTAGCTTTCATTTCTACACTATCGGTTTCATGCTGCTGGCTCTTTCATGGATTGGAAGTTTTGGTAAATTGTTCTAGAAGAATGCTTCCATCTACATGAGTTGGATCTAGGGGAGGAGGTGGGTGAGCAGGAGTTGGATTCTACAGTGTGGGCTGCATTCCCTTCCATGTCCTCTGCCTCCTCAAGAATAACTCATGTGAGCTTTTGGTGTAAGTTGGCAAAGATCTAGGTGAGGCATCTTGCCGCCTTGGGTTGGGTGATGGGTAATATTGGCAGTTTCAGTAATTTTTTTGAAGTTCCATATGATGGGTTCTAGTATAAATCCATGGGCTGAGGATATTGATAGATCGTGGGTTGCAAAGGGGAGAAGTGGTTTTGAGATGGTTTGGTCATGCGAAACAAGGATAATTACTGAACCAGATGTGGTAGGGATTTGATTCTAGTTGAAGGAACTACAAGGACAATAGAAGGCAAAAAAGAATTTGTTATGATTCAATGAGGATGCACATGATGGTCTATAACTTAATAAAAGATGTAGTCATTGATGAAGGTGAATTCTGATCGAAGACCCTGAGTAGTTGGTGCAAGGCTTTTACTTAGTTTAATAGAAGCTCTGTTCTTTGTTGTTGTGGGGATTTTGTTGCTAAATATTTACGTTATATGCAATGCTAACTTAAAGGTAATAGTTACATCTTTCATGATAGTAGCTTTACTTTTTTTCTTTTCTTTTTATTTTTTCTTTTATCTATTTATTTTAGTGGGGCTCAACACCACCTTCTGACTTCTTCCATTGATTTGAATCCTCCAACTAAATGTAAGCTTATAACAGATTTTTACTCATCTGTCGTTAGTGGACTGGTAAATTAAATACTCTTCCCTGTTTGAGCAATATGTGAATAATTTGTGGTAGCCCACACAAAATATCCTTTCCTTTTTACCTAGTCTATCTTGCAACAAGGAGTGTAGGGTAGAGATGTATTTTTATTTTCATTGCTTCTCCTCATGGATGAAAAAGAATCTACATACCTTACTGTCCTATTTTGTCTGACCTTTATATGCTTAAAACTTTAGAAACACACAAGATATTTTTTCTTTTATCTTTTTCCTTTTTCTTTGCCACACAAGATATATAACATTATAAGTGCATGGTATCATATCTTGCGATTCACTGTATCACTTCGGTTTTAACAATTTTTAGAATATTTTATATTTGCGTTGTAGGCAAGTCTCATCAATTTCAATATTATTTGTAACTCCATTTGCACCTCTGTTCTGTGTAGAACTGACTTGTGCTGAAAGATTATCATAAATCCAGGACACTTGTCAGTTTAATATCTTATAGTTCTGCACAGAATAAAAGTCTCCAAGAAACAGAAATGCAATGCGAATATAATACAAGAAATATGCATGCCATACGATTTATTGAAAAAGAAAAAGAGGGAGAAAAAAAATACTGGTTTGTATCAGGTTAGTTTGGTCCTTGGGCCTTAACAGAAACCAAAACTTTTGAGTTAATGGTCATTGATCATGCGGTGTTGGTGGATTATTCCAATTAACTTATTGCATGCTACTTTTTGCATTGATTGTTACATATTATTATTATATCATGTATTGCACAAGCTATGCATTTTTGTATTCTTACTCCAAAGAAATTTATTTGTGAAATCAACTATAATTTCCATTGAAGAAATCATATGACTGGATCAATTATAGACTTTAATGACAACATGTGCTGCTTGTATGCATATGACTGGATCAATTATAGACTTTAATGACTCGTGCATGTGCTGCTTGTGTGTTTATGACTATTAGCTAAGAACCAAAATGTCTGTTGTTCCTCTTCTGTTTCCTTATTGTCCCTATTGCTTTACAGTTAAAAGTATGTTATATTTGTCATTTGCAGCCATTGGTGGTGCAACCGGACAGCTTCTTGAGCAAAATGCTCAGGCCTTGGATCAAATTTCCGCAAATTTTTCAGCTTTTAAGGTTAAGGCACATGGTTTGGATTGAGAGTTCATTGTCTTCTTCATTATGTTTTGGCTACAAAAATCCTTTTTCCCCTACAAGTAGTCCACATGAGTTCATGATAGACATGAGCTGTTGTTTGGAGATTTATGTTTTGGTTGTTTGTGTACCCATCCATTGCACAGTGTTCAAGCTGTGTAGTCAGCAAAATGCACATTGTTTGCTGGGGCCTATCAATCAACATTTATATAATAATTTTTGATAGCTTGACCTCATTGACAGACCATTTCAGTATCACACAGAAAATATATATCCTCGTGAATGGATTAATCGTAACATCTTTCTTCTTTCTTCTCTTTTCTTGCAGATCAATGAGAACTTCAGTCTCTTCCACCAAGCTCGAAATAACATCCTAACAATCTTGAACGAGTAAGTATGAAGCTGTGTATGCTATATACTGTTGCTCCTTCCGAATTGGAATGATTGTTTCTTGCATGTATGCAAATTCTTGTTTGTCATGCTTGCATATGTACTGCCTTCAATCTTTGGATGCTCACGAGCTTCTTTTGCCATAAATGTGGTTGTTTGGAATATTTCACCACAATCATCATCATGCTAATTTAGCCATCCATACATAGAGCATGTGAAGTTGTTAGCTAGCATTGGAACTGGATTGTTCCACGTTCATCTTTCCTTTTCTGGTAAAATTTTAAGCTCTCTCTCTCTCTCTGATACAATGTTTTGAAGTTGAAGGGTATTCGACATCTCACAGAAATTAATTAACCTCATACACTGAATTTTTTTAAGAATTCGCTCTCTTTCAATTTCATTCTATGATGACATATTTTGACTGGTAACTGTTAGAAGAACTATCACATGTTTTGGAAGTTGAAGGATGTTTAGTACAGAATCGAGACAGTTACGAATCATGATGACCTAAAAACTGATCCTATGTAATTTGCAACGAGGGACTTACACAAAAATGCACCCCAAATAAGAAATGAGCATTTGTTTTCAGTTATTGGCGTTTGTTGAATGTGAGGTTATATCTGACATGCATGCAAGTATTTGCGGGCCTCAAAAGGCTTTGAAAAGACATCTCACTATTGCTGAATAGAATCAATTTTTGTAATCCGTGCTGACCGGAATGAATATTGCAGCTTGAATGACATGCCAGAGATAATGAAGCAGATGCCACCTCTTCCGGTGAAGCTGAATGAAGAGCTTGCCACCTCTGTCCTTTCTCATTCACCCTTGCAGAAGAAATGATGGTCGTGGTTCCGAACAACCTGGGCTTATTAGTTATTAGTAATGTTTCTGATTCTTCTCCTCAAGTTGGGACCTTTTAGTTATAGTCTAAAAGTTGAATGAACTTGCTTGTGAAGTCCAGTTCAAATTTCGATTTATTATGGTGATTTAAGCCGATTCCTTGAATGCGTAGTCTTATTTCGGTACTTTCTTTTTTTCTTTTTCTTTTGCTTTTTTATTGAGTAGTTAATAGGATGTAGTTTTCATATAATGTAAATTCTATTTGTGTATGAAGGATTCGTGACTCTGTAAATTATTCAAGGAAAGGCAGTTGCTTGTAGATTTGCTGTTTGAATGAGTATGCAATAAAAGAAATGTGTATGCAGTTGAATGGAATTTAGTTTGGAATTTTGATGGGTGGGATTTACCTCGAATCATATGGGTGAATGAGACATTGATGAACGTTACACTCTTAGTCACACAATCCTTCTCAACATGTGTCGCTTTCACGTTCTGAATACTCTAACGCTTTGTGTGCTTTGGTTCAAATTCTCAATGTTTATGACATAATTTTGTCGCTCACATTCTTGCTCTCGAATTTGATTTCGCTCTCGTTTTATGTGACTTAGATTACACTTATCGGATTCTGTCTCGAATAAAAAAATAAAAATAATAAAAAAACCACATTCCATCATTTAGGAGAGCTTTTTTATTTTTTCTTGTGACGTCTCTTATCGCGGCTCAGGGAGAGATTGTTGGAATTTATATGTATGATGCATATGTATAGACGCATTTTGAAAATCATTATTTGACCGGTCGTGACCCAAATGAAATTACACAGTTTACATTTTCATTTTGTGTTTTGTGGTTCTATGTTTGTTCTACTTCCTGTATATGGTTTGCTAATCTTTTATTTCATAATATTTTTTTTTTTTAAAAAGAGACGAACTTATTTTTCTCGAATTTTAAATTTCTTTCTATCCAAAATTCTAAAATGTTAATATGAGGAATTGCAGTTAATCGGCCACCAACCCGACTTATATATCATTATTTTTTAGAATAGGGTTTGTTTCATGTCCTTCGTGTATATATATATTTTTTGCTCTTCAAGTGGTTTTTTGTTCTTCAAATGATAAATTAAACACACGCACACACAGGCTTTTAGTCAGGTTGGGATTCAAACTCCTCTCACTCTTTGAGTATAATAAGGTTTACTGCTTGGTCAAAAAGTTAAAATTTTAATTAGAAGTATTAGATGAGTGTACTTATTTTATATTTTAAAAATAATTCACTCTTCCAATTAATCTAAACTTTTTATTGGGCATTGTTTTATGATTTTAATAAGGATATTCGGCCTTATCGATTAGTGAAAGTAATGAAAAATCAAGTGAATGAAAGCAAACTACATTTTAATCAAAGAATTTTTTTACAAGACAAAAAACTATATTATAATATGAAGAACGTAGAAGTTTACAAGAAAAATATCACTGTACTATGTTTCGTGGGTAAGAATGTTTTGGGAAAAAGAAAAAAAAAAAAAGAAAAAAAAAGAAGAAAAAACCCAAAAAAGTTTGTTTTCACATCATAGATCGTTCATTACTCTTTATGATGACGTGGCAGGTTTAGCTCCAAAGTAAAACCCCCCTCACTGGATATTAAACTGTGAAGTCTGTATCTATATAGACCGGAAAATACACAAACCTAGGAGGAGACCCCGTTCACCACTGAAAGCTATGTTACTACACATGTAGAAGAAACTCTTTCTCTCTCCTCTTTTTAGAAAGAGAAAGTGTTTATATATATATACACACATATAGAGAGATAAAGAGGAAGATAGAGACGACCGAGATGTCAGTGTGTACGTCGTCGGACCTGACGCCGGAGGAAGAGAAGCTCACGATTAGAGACATTGCTACGGCTGCCGAATCTCAAACCAAAGAAGGAGATACCTTTTATTTAATCACTCAAAGGTACTTATATACGCTCGTGTTTATATATACATACATATATCTATAGCTATACATGTATATATACGAAGCTATGAATCTGATGATTAGAGACATTGTTTTGGATTTTTGTATCGTTCTCATTTTGTAGAATTTTTATTTTTCTCTTTGTTTATTTATTTTGGCGAAACTCTCTTGTTGTGATTCGATGCCAATTTTTGTTTGTAAAGTCTAGGGTTCTAGTGGATTTAGCTGATGGCATAGATTTGATCTGTACAATAGAAAATTTGAGCATATTTGCTCTTTATTTTGTTTGCTTACTTCATTTTATAAGCAATGTGGATAGGTAGAGCTTGATAATGGCCTCTCATGTAGTTACGATTGGAGACACTTGCTTCTCACTACTGTTTTAGGGCTTTTCCTTTTTCATTTTGCTGTGATTCTTGATTTGATTTCCAATTAACACAACTTCATGAGAGTGGCAGTCTATAATTGTTAGAATTTAGGAGTTTTTTTTTCCTTAAAACTTTTTATTAATGTATTCTGCTTCAGAGAGTAGACAAGAATATTTACTTTGATGAGAATCTGATGATTTTTTATTTTTTTTGTTTTTCCCTTCTCTGCAAGGATATCACATCATTTTTATCATTGCTGAAAAAAACAAAAACATTCCTCTGCCTTCTTGTTCCCCTCTTTGGTTGTGTGTGTGCCCGTGACGAAATAGGATTCCTGATTTTTTTCGGCTAATAAATTACGATTAGCTGTTGTTTTCCCAAAAAATCTTCAACTCCCTTAAACTCAGAGAGCTTTCCTAAAAAACCTTCAACTCCCTTAAACTTAGAGAGCGCAGTTGCAAACACTGAAATTATTAGCTTCCACGACTGAGTATCTTTTAGTGAAAGATGGTTAATAGCAAACTGGATGATACCTAGTGCTGTACCTGTTTATGTGGAGTGTCGGGAGGGTGAGAATGTGAGCAGACCTAATTGTTGCCATTATTTTGCACATAGTGGTTGCCTGCTCTTGTATTCGAACTCGCATTTTCATTCTAGTCAATCTTTGCTTTTACCATTTCTTAGATTACTCAAAGAAATAGAAAAAGTAGAAGTAAAAGAAAAAAAAGAAAGGATGAAGGACACTTGGGTAAGAGTAATGTTCCCTTTGTTGAACTTTGGTGGCTCATCTCTTTCCTAGTTGATGAGCTTTTGCGGTTGCAATGTTCTAATTTAAGGAAGGAGAGAACAATCAAACTCTTACATATATTTTCGTTTTTCTTGAGGCTGGGAGTGATACATGTGAAACAACTAATCTATTCATGAAGTGCCCCACAAAAAATAGCTGCTTGTTGTATATTAAAATGAGATGGGACATATTTATATATATATCTATCTACAATCATAGTGGGTTTCCCTACATTGAAAGGAATGAGAAATGCAGAATCATCAATTCAACGCCTCTCAAACTCTGATTGATCCTTGGAGATTCCCCATTAAATAAATATTTGGGGTTGAAATACAACACTTTCTCTCTGTCGCCATGTTACTATTATCAATTCTATCTTGTAAGCACACTTGGAAGTACGACTATCATTGCAATACGGTTTTCCACTTTATACTTCACAAGTCTGCAAGTAGCTGCCTTCAAGAAGAGATATACCAAACCAGGGACAGAGCCAGGAAATTATGTTGTGGGGCATATTAAACACGGTAAAAAATAAATAAAAAATTTCCACTAGCATGTGGACTAACAGTATTGCAAGATAGCAAGTTAAAAAATAGAAGCGTAGTAATGATATAGTAATTTCAAAATAGCATGTCGTTATTTACAAAAAATTGAAGTAAACAAAAATTCCAAAACATAAAATGTGGAGATTAAAGAAGAGAGAAAAAAATGTTAGTGCAAGAAGAAGAAAACGAAAAAAATGTTAGTGCAAGAAGAACAAGGAGGAAGAAATTAAAAATAAAAGAAAAATGAGATAACTTTGAAGGGAAAAACATAAGGGTTTTTTTGAAGAAAAAGAATGCAAAATATTTTGAAGGAAATCAAATAAATTAGAAGAAGAAGAGTAAAAGAGAAAATAAAAGAAGAATGAGAGATTTTTAGGATGGAGAAATTTTAATATAAGGAGACAGTTCAGGGGTGCACGTGACCCCTCTAAGCCTTAGTTGGCTCCGCCTTTGTACCAAGCAAAGTCCATTTGTGAGCTTGAGGTAATCTATCTCTCTCTCTCTTTGAGCACCATTTAGGTTTTAGACAATACGGGCTATACAGTACATTAATACAGTGGAAGTTTGAGATGATGAGAGCTCTTTATTCCTTCAGAGTTAGCAAGATACCACGTGCATTGTTGTACTTACTTTTGTTTGCATCAAAAAGTTCTTTCGAAATTTTTATCTAGTTCGTCCAAACTACTTTTGTAAATCTTCGTAAAGAATGCCATCATACAACCATGTGGCATGTGGGCCGAGAACATAATTTTCCTTGTACTCTAATCTATTAATGCTTCTACCCCGAAAGAATTTACCTTTTTCAGTGGTAGTACTCGACGTAGAGCAATGACACATATGGTTAATAGAACCACCACCCTTTGAGGCTGCTAGACCTTCAGTATTTATTAATTGGCTCTTCATTCTCTTAAAGCTTATCATCATTCCAGTGAATGTGAATTGGTGAAAAGATTTTGTGCTCGTGCCTGTTTCGGTAAAGATAAAATGTCCTTGATTTCTGTCTCAAACTATTTTCTTCCTACACTGCCTGCTTGAATTTTAATTAATTGTTTGTTTCACTGTAAAATGAAATTCTCTACAATGGTCTCCCCAAAAATATTTTAATAATTGGACATTTTAGTCTAGTTGAGTTTAGTCAAGTTGAGTTGATTATTATTTATTCTAATTTTCTAGTTGTCTGGTGTATTCTGATAGCTTATTCAGAAAATACTTTTCACCTTTCTTGTTTGTTTGAATGAAGTCAAAATATAGATAGAATCTGTCAAATTTTCATTACTTCGATTGCATGTTTATAGAATAACAGTGAGGGAGGGAGGGCTTTTAGCTCTACTTTGATTTTATTTTCTAGATTTCGGAGTTTTAATCAATACAATTAACTGGAACCATAATCCCACATTTTACCCAATTTTTCAGTGAAACAAAGTAGGACCTTATTGTTGGACTGCTTCTTTATAGATCTAAATTTTACTGTTGGGAGTAAGTACTAAAGAGTCTTGTTTGTTTCTTCCCACTGGCTAATTACAGATGGTGGCAAGATTGGATTGAGTATGTGACCCAAATCCAAACAACTATAACAAATGATGGATCTTCTTCCGAGCATCACGATTCAGTTGGTTCAAGCAGTTTAAAGAGGCCCTCTGTTATTGATAATTCTGATTTAATAAATGAAGCAGCTTCAGAGGACTCCACTTTAGGTCTTGAGCTTCATGATACTCTAGTAGAAGGCACTGATTATATATTGCTTCCTCAAGAAGTTTGGAACCAATTATATGCATGGTGAGTTACACAGGAAATTTACTATTTTATCATTTTGAGGATGTTTTTTCATTTCCATTGCTTCATGTTTTTCTTTCTTTTGTAGTTTCCATGTTCTTTGATTTATACTGCACAGAGGTAGATGTTTTATAAATTTATTTATTGGTAGGTTTTAATGCTGGATGCCATATGAGGAGTCATTGCCTTTGTTAGTAGGGAACATTACTAGATATGAGTGAGGAATATCACTATACTTATCAAAAAAAAAAAAAAAAAAAAAAGGAATATCACTAGGTTTCTTCTTCTTTTTTTTCCTCTATTTTTTTTTGAAAAGAAATAAACTCTTTATTCAAGAAAAAGAAAATGTATCCATGAAAACAACACTCCAAATAACAAAGGTCATACAAGAATGCTGAGAAACTCATTGTAAAAATGTTGTACTAGGAATATGTCTCTAGTAAGGCAAAGCTCTGGAATATTAATTACGATAATCCATCATTTAAATATCCAAGTGTGCTGGAAAATTTGATCATTCATCCTCTATAATGGCCATGACTGGTTATGGATAGAAGCATCTCCTTAAAATATGTCTTCTCTGAGAATCACATTTCTTCTGTACTGATTTTATCCACTTATTGAGGCAAGGGAAGAATTTCTCTTCTGTGACGTTGAGTTCAAACTGTGTGTCTGTTTTCTTTCAAATGGAGTAACTGAAGGTAAGAGAGAAACATATTGAAATGAATCTTGTCCTGAAAACATATCTAAACATTGGAATTTTTTTTTTTGATAAGTAAAAATAACATTAAAAAAAAGGCATTTAAGAGGGGAACGCGTCCCAATTACAAAAGTGGAACTGGGATTAAGGCCCCAAAGAATCCAAAAAAGTAATTAAATTATATGAAGAAGAACAAAAGCTTCTCTTCACATAATTGAAGAGAGAATGAAGAATGTAAAGTTTGACCATTTCCGTAAGCAACTCTTTTCCTTCGAACATTCTGCTATTTCTCTCCTTCCAAATGCACCACCATACACAATGTGGTACAATTCTCCAGAAATCGCGAACGTCTCTTCTCACTCGACAACCTCTCCAAACCTGAATCAATTCCTTAGTAGATCGTGGCATAACCCAACACATGCCAAACAACCCAACAATAAGATTCCAATAATCAATCGCCATAGGGCAATGCAAAAGGAGGTGATTAATGGACTCCTCATCATCCTTGCATAGACAACAGCGATTAACTATACAATTGCCCCTTTTTCTCAAATTATCAACTGTCATAATCTATCCCCACACAGCAGTCCAAACAAAGAAAGCCACCCTAGTTGGAGCCATAGACCGCCAAATAGTTTTCCACGGGAAGTCTCGATTAATAAAGTTTGACAAACATAAGAACAAAGATCTAACTTTGAAACGACCATGAGAAGAGGGAACCCAAATTAAAACATCATTACCTCTGCCAACGCCCTCCTGTCGATACAGAAGATCCAAAAAAACACATACCTCGTCCATCTCTCAATCCTGAAAAGAGTGCCGAAAATGCACATCCCATATAATCCCGCTGCTATCAAGCCGGTAGCAGTCGACTATGTAGGCGTGTTTATCAACAGCAATACTGAATAATCTTGGAAATGTACGAGAAAGTGGCTGATCCCCACACCAGAGATCTTCCCAAAACTGAATGCAACGTCCATCACGGAGTTTGAATCTGATATGAGCCGAAAAAACATCCCATCCCTTCCGAATAGCCTTCCACATCCCTACTCCTCCCACTAGGGTAACCGGACACGTAAACCAACCTCCAGCCTCTTTGCCAAATCGACAAAAGACTAACCTGCGCCATGGTCGATGTCTTTCCCTCCCATATCTCCATAATCACTTACCCAGGAGAGCTTGATTGAAAGGAACTAATCGTCTTATTCCATGTCCACCCAATTTCACAGGCTTACAAACTTTCTTCCATCTGACAAGGTGGTACTTGAACTCATAGCCCTCACCACCCCAAAGGAAATCCCTTTGAATTTTTTCAATCCTGTCTGCAATGGAACAAGGGATTTGGAACATAGAAAGAAAATAAGTGGGGAGGCTCGACAAGGTGCTCTTGATAAGAGTAACTTTACCCCCTTTTGACAAGTATTGCTTCTTCCAACCTGCTAATCTCTTCGCATACCTATCAATCACGGAATCCCAACACCCCACTAAACTTGAAGAGACCCCTAGGGGCAAACCCAAATAAGGAATACGGAATGAGCTCACCCTGCATCCAAGGACTGCAGCTAAAGAGGAAATATCCGGAACATTCCGTACTGGGACAAGCACACTCTTTGCCACATTGACCTTTAGCCCAGAAACTGCCTAAAAACAAGTCAGAACACACCTCAAGTATCGAAGTTGAGACACATTAGCATCACAGAAAACCAGGGTGTCATCTGCAAAGAGTAAATGGGAAATCTCCATCTGATGGTCTAAATCTCTACCCACCCTGAAGCTCTTAATAAAACCAAGGCCCTCTGCCCTATGCATCAGTCTACTTAACCCCTCCATAACAACAAGAAAAAGGAAAGACGACAAAGGATCACCTTGTCTTATACCTCTAGAGCAACCAAAGAAACCGGTGGGAGAGCCATTCACAAGAACTGAAAACTTGACAGACGAAAGACAGGTCTCAATCCATTTCCTCCATTTACTTCCAAACCCCATTCTTTGTAACAAATAGAGTAGGAAATTCCAATTCACATGATCATATACTTTCTCAATGGGAAGCTTGCATAGAACTCTAGGAATATCACTCCGCAATCTGGAATCCACACATTCGCCAGCAATAAGAACTGAATCAAGAATTTATCGTCCGCCAACGAAAGCATTCTGGGAATCCGAAATAATTCCATCCATAACTTCCTTCATCCTTAAAGCGAGCACCTTAGCAATGAGTTTGTAAATGCAGCCCACCAAACTAATAGGACGAAAATCCTTTCTATCTGAAGCACCTCCCGTTTTTGGAATAAGGGCAATGAATGAAGCATTAAGCGATTTCTCAAAGACGCCAAAAGAAACTCCTGAAAAGTACCCATTATCTCATTTCTTACAACCGCCCAACTTTCCATCAGAAATCGCATAGTGAAGCCATCAGGTCCCGGAGCTTTGTCCCCATTACAGCTTGAGAGAGCTTTAAGAACTTCTTCTTCAGTGAAAGGATTCCCAATCCTATCTCTATCAAGCTCAGAAATAGCCTCAAAATGGAGACCATCAAGTTTGGGCCTCCAAACTAAAGGCTCTGTGTAAAGCTTCTGATAAAAGGAAGCAATACCGTTACGCACCTTCTTCCTCTCTCCACAACTCCTCACCATCCACCCGAATTCTTCCTATATGATTACTCCTCCTATGAGCGTTAGCTAACCGGTGGAAGAATTTTGTGTTCCGATCACCTTCCTTTATTCTTTTGGATTGAGGGAATAGCCCTGCAGAAGCCTTGCTTAATTCTTTTATCATACGTGACTGGAGGACTGTCATGTGACGTCTTATCATCAGCAAAATATTGTTCGTTTTTTCCTTTAGAGGCCTCCAACAATGGGGAAAACCAAATTTAGCTTGATAGGCGTTTCCTTTGGAACCCAGACCAACTGGTAGTGATTGTACTTCTGGAGATGCATTTGGAAGGACTATTCTTTTCTGTAGACAGGTGGGGTCTGGCATAATTCTCCTGGAAGGTCTCAAAGAAGCCTCTGCTCTGGGTCTATGACAGTATTTGACCAATGGTGGTGCTGATATTTCTGTTGGTTGCATGAGATATTGGATTATATGCTCTTGGCAGTATATTCACTTTATGACATATTATATTTTCACTGCTTCAGCGGCAGAAATTAGGTGAACCCTAGAGCCACCAACAGTCCACTTTTTAGCCAAGAAAGGAGCATTCCTCTTGGGACGAGTTGGGGGACGCTCTTATCCTCTGAGCCTCCTGTTTGCTTTCTAGAATTGGGTTATCGGGATGTCTTATTTGTGATTGTTTTATACATTTCTTCTTTATTTGAGGTTTTTGGGTGTTTGTTTCCAGTTGTTGCTTTTGTTTGTTTGTTTGTTTTTTTTTTTTTTTTTTCCCTCTCTTTCTCTCCCTCTCTCAAAAGGATCCTTGGTTTTTCCTTTTTTGTATTTTTCTCCCTTCTTTAGTGATTGTTTCATATTACTAAAAGACGTAATGTATTTATATCAACTTAAATCATTGGCAGATCATATCAAGCAGCTATATATTGGTGGCTTCCTATTTTTCTCAAAAACTATTTTTTATACATGTTAAAGGTTGGGATGATACTGGTAAAATTTAATCATTCTTAGATGGTATCATACTACTTTAAAGGATGTCTAAAGGAAGTATTGAGGAATCAATGTTAGTGTTTGTTGGGTTTAGGTATGGAGGGGGTCCTACATTGGCTCGAAAAGTAATCAATTCTGGTCTCTCTCAAACAGAACTGGCCGTGGAAGTGTATCCTCTGCGTCTTCAACTACATCTGATGCCAAAAGGTGACCATTCTGCTATAAGAATAAGCAAAAAGGTATGATATCAGGCCATGTTGTGATGGACTTCTTCCTTTTCCGTGTTGTGATGGACTTCTTTGTTTTTATTATTACATCCCGGTCACTCCCTTCTCCCATTTGACCCAATAGTATGACACAATTATGTTCATAATAAGAGTTAATGAAAAATTTAATCATCTTGGGCAGGAAACTATCGGAGAGCTTCACAGAAGAGCTTGTGAGATTTTTGATCTTAATTCAGAGCAAGTAAAGTGACTTTTTTTATTACTACCTAAACTGCACCTTTTATTTTATTTTATTCTGCTTTTCTTTTTTCCCACTTCTAAATCATCTTTTTCTTTAGTTCTTCAGTATTAATTTTTTCCTTCGGGCACAGGTATGCATTTGGGACTACTTTAGTCATCGAAAACATGCTTCGCTGTATGAGATGGATAAAACGCTTGATGATGCCAACATACAGATGGATCAGGATGTGGGTCTCTTTATGTTGCAACACTTTTAATATTTTTAGGACTACTATATCTGCTATAAGGAAACCAATTTAGCATCTGAAAATCGGGTTTATGTTTGAGGTGTTTTCTGTTGACAACACCATGGGTGCACATGATTCTACTATATGCATATGCAGGCCTGCTTCTAATAGTTCTGTATTATGTGATATCCAAATCCTTTTTGTGCATTAAATATGTCTCTCCATCAGTAATCAGGGAACTATTCTTAATGAAGCATGCACCCATTTTCTGGGGAAAATCTTGTTTTCTTCAGCATTTTTTTTTTTCTGGTCTGGGCTGGTTTGTGAGATGCAACAAATTTTTGTGAACCACAGATCTGTTTTGTTGTGAGTTTCTGGTGTCTTTCTAACTAATTTAAATTGCTAAAGTTTGTTGGAATATATGATGGTTATACAATATCATAATACTATTTCTAGTTTAATTTTTGTATGTAGCGTCTACATAACAAAAATTTGTCTTTGCACTTCTCGTGCTTTGGTATAAACCACACAAATGCACATTGGGAACCGCACATTGCACATGATGCACTTGGTGATCATTTCTGTTGTCCAGCCTTATTAGCCACTTCAATTCCCTATTCTGCCGCCAATCTGGCATCTGGAGTTTGACTTCTTAAGTGGACTAATTCTATATATAATTCTTGTTACTTTATATATTGATGAAACTTTTTCTGACAAGTAGAATACTTAGCCAGAGAAAAGGAAGGCAACATCAGTATACATAAGCTCTTAAGAGTCTTACTTGCCCATTTGTTTGAGGAGCGCTATGTGTTGACGGGAGATTGGAGAACCATTTGTTTGGAGATTACACTGTGCTAAATTAGAGGAGTGAGATGTTGGTTTTTAGAAGGCTCATATTCTGGTGCAATTGTAAATGCTAAGATTAACTTTAGGTTTCGGTTTTGAGCTTGATGGCAACCACTTTGTGAGCTTGTGTAAAATAAAACCAAAGGTTAAGTCCATCTTAGCCTTCCGCTCCCCATGTAGGTGGGACATAAACTGGATCAGTGGCCTCAGATGCCCATAATAGTTTCTAAGAAAAGTAGAATCCGATGCATCCTCTCTTCTCGCTTTGCATAATCCTCTCCACTCATGCCCCTTATTTACTGTCATAGAAATAACTTTAGAAACTCTATGTGAGGCCAATTCCCATGCGAAACATCCTTCTAAAATTTACCCTCCTTCACCCACTTTGAAACTTGTTCCCTTGGATTGGCAGCCAACTCCACTTGTAACCATAGTTTGAACTTTAAAGTCACCACCTTTTTTCTTTCTATCTTGGGCATGCAAATTACTTGCATTTGCTAGATGATTTGAAAATCATTATATAATTGGGAAGTCCTTCGCAACTTTTTCAAAATGCAGGACTCGGCGTAGGAATTTTTAAGACTGTGACAAGGAGGAATCTCATGTATTATGTTTAGTGCTTTATCTCACACAGCCTATCTCAAGTCCCAAAAAAAGTTGAGGGTTCCATTAGGTAGTTTGACATTTGACAATGACCAATATAAACATGAATACTAGGAATCTACGAGAAATATTTTTTGATGAATAAGGAGAATGTTATTCTCCTCAAGCGATGCGTTAGATCAGCTTTTGGATGCTTTGAAATATGGGCAAACAATTATCCTTCCGGCACCTGGAATTTGGATTGATAACATGTGGTTTGACTAAGGTTATAGACGTAAATAGAGCAAAATGGGATTCATGCAGACGATCCAAAGTAGTTGGGAAAAAGGCCTAGTTTTCTGTTCACAATTAGGAAGACTTGAAAGAGTGCTTTAAACTAAATAAAGCTTCCCTCTTTGAATTAAAAGAGACCTCTTCCAATTGCTAAGCCTTTTTCCAGTCATCATAATGACTATATCCCAAAATAATATGCCACCCCTATAACGATGGAAGGAAGGATCCCAACTCTGCACCATGATTAATAGCCAGGGAGATTGAACAGAGTCATTAGTGCTTAGAAAAGGTTTTGTTTACTGAAAGGAGGAGGCTCAATTTGGTTAATAGTTCTCTTTCATGTCTTCCTATCAACTTCTTGTTGATCTGCAAAGTTCCTAATCATTGGTTAGTAGTAGATTGTCGAAGTTGCACAAGGATCTCCTATGCCAGAAATTGAGGATGATTTGTAATGTCATATAGTAGAATTCTAGATTTTCTAGAATTTGGATGACGTTTGAAGCGTCACAGTAAAACCTAAATGGTACTACATGGTAAAACTAAATTACAAGCTACTTAACAATAATTAATAAGCACTAATTATTATATAAAGCTATAAAATGTAAACTATCTAAACTACTAGACTGCTAATACTAACTTATTATATATTTAGAACACATTAGTAGATAATAGTTACCAATACAAAATAACTAAATATGGGATTTTGGGATTAAAACTTGCATCATGGTAATTTTACCTGGAGTCAGATGAGGACAAAAAAGTTCACGACTCCAGTAGCTGCATTTGGTATGTTAGGTCCGTTACACCACTGCTGTTCCCACTACTCAAAAGTTAAAACCTTAGTGGATGGTTACCAGAGCAAAAAATTTATGTAAACTCTCATCAGCTCTTTACTTCTAGCTGAGTCAATATTTTGACTTCTAACTGTAAGACTCTGAATAAAGTTTTTTCATTGTTAAGACCTTGTTGGTAACATTAATATATTTGACGTGGTATATTACTCTATTCACCGGTCTTATGTACTTGCATTTCTGAAATCTTTGAAATGTTAAGAGGGTTATGTATGGCTGGAGAATATACCGTATAAGGTTGAAGGTTTCATTTTGTATGCACCATCACTCGTTAATACTTTCTTCTATGCTATGTAGGCCTCTTCCTGTCAATTATGAGCTTATTTAAAACTTTCTGGCACGTGCAGTTGGTTGTTCTTTGACTTGCTTTCTTCTTCTTCTTCTTCTTTTTTCTTTTTGGTCTCCCCTTAAGAGTGTTTTAGAGTTTGTGTATAATTATAATTTTGTTAATGTGGCACTCACCATAAAGAGTTATTATTATCTTCATTGTTTGATGCATATATGCCTGAAGGTCAGTATACGTTTAATTAAATTTTTTTTTTTTTTTATTAAATAATTTGATTGTCATTTCCAACTTGACCTTTAAACATATCTCCATTTGGTTTTTATATATGAAAATGAATATAGATGTTTCTTAAAAGCATACATGCTGGTGGATATTCTCTAATCCCCATCCCTATGTCAAGGTTTTGTGAAATTGTTTTATTTGACTACTATTATTGGTCTTGAAGCTTGGAAGTTCTATTTATGTCCATACAAATGATTGCTCTATCCTAATAATGATGCTTTTTTGTATTATTTGTTACCTGAGGCTCCTCAATGTCTTAACATTCCACTTTTCTCTTGATATGCAATTACTTGAACAGATTCTGGTTGAGGTTGACAATGTCAACACTGGTGGTTGCTTGAGTTCTGTTCAGGAGAATGGATCTGCAGAAAAGGAATCAACCTCGGTCCTTGTAGAGCCTTCTAAATCAAGCTTTTCAATCGCAGGAGGTTTCTCTGCAAGCAAGGGTTTGTCTAGAAACTGCAATTCAGAGTCGTCACAACTTCAGAACCTAAATTCTGCAGCTAGAGAATCGGATAACACACATGGGATCAGTGGCATTAATACAAGGGGGTCTTCTGGTGGTCTGACTGGATTGCTGAATCTTGGAAACACTTGCTTTATGAATAGTGCAATACAGTGCCTTGTTCATACGCCAGAGTTTGCTAGATATTTTCGAGAAGATTACCATCAAGAAATAAATTGGCAGAACCCTCTGGGCATGGTTGTAAGTTTCAGATTTGATAGTAAAAGTTAACTGATTATTTTTGTTTTACAGAAGCTTTATCTTAGAACACTTCCGAATCCATGATGAAAGCTGGTATCTAATTAGTAAGAGGACATTATGTTTAATATGTGGTTCAGTTTTGAAGTTGAGCATTGTTGTCTTCAAGGTGTCTTTGTTGCAAATTCTATGATTTTTGTTTATTTATATGACGATGTCTAGCTTATGTGTGAAAAATATGAGAACCCTCCCAAATTTGATGTGATATCTATAATTCATTTAGGTCTATTGTATCTAGAATGTTTGTTGGTATGAGTCGTGTTACTGTGATTAGACTATAATTAGCTGGCTGGTTATGTCTTACGAGGTTATGAGTTCGCTGATCCATTTGTTAAAGCTAACTCATACCTTTTACCATTTCAATAACGAATATTCTGTGAAACAACAAGATGGCACGAATAACCATCAGGTTTCTTCATTCACACTTCATTCTTTAGGAATATAAAAATTCTTGCTAGGGATCATGTCTGGTGCTAGGTTGTTTGTTTATTTACGTCTCGAATGATTATGTTCATCAATAATGGAAAGCAACCTGGAGGACTGCAACAGACTAATTTATGAAGACATCTCAAACCCTCTTAGGTACCGGTTGACTTGCATCATGCATAAGCCGTTTGAAAACTCAGCTCAATTCAACAAAGTCTTAAATCTTAATTACATCACAAAGTCTTTCATCTTTTCTTTCCCATTATTCTAGTTGCATGTAACATTCTAGAGCATATCAACTCCCATGACATAATATATTTTCTCTTTGTATCTACTGCATCTACCATGTTTTTTCAAGCTGTGCTTGTCATTGTAATGTTTTCTAATGATATTTTTTTTTGGTATGTAGTCTCTGACACACTTAACCTATTCGTTTTAAGACAAGTAACTTTTATGTTCTCCTTGAATGTTTTCCTTCATTTTCTATCCCATACTATGTATCTCCTCTACCTCCCAAAATGGAAGGTCGCCAAGGAAAAAAAGAAAGATGTTTCTTTGTGTTTTGCTCTCAACAGTGTATAAAAGTGCAATGCTGTAATTGCTTTCTGGCTAGCATGCAAAAGCTTTTAGTGAGATTTTACTTATTATGCTTTTTTGTCATCCTTAGTCACAAGTAGTGTTAGAAAAAAAGAGTCATAAGACTTGACTCATAGCATACCTAATTCACTGTGAGGTCAAAATGCCATCAATGATGTTTTTCTTTAATTGGATTGCGGTGTTTGGGGTGAATTTGACCATGGATGAGGAGATGAAGATGCTTCCCAACTTACCTCACATTTTCAAGATGGCAGAGGAAAGCACCGTTCATCTCCTTCTTAACTTTCTGGTGGCTAGGGACATGTCATGCATGTTTTTATCGTTTTTGGTGTGTTCTGGGTTATTTACTCATTCGTAGGTCGGTTGAGGAGTTGTTTACTTAGTTAGTGGCTTGAGGGTTGTGTTAGGAGAAGGGAGAACAATGTTTGGCAGGCTGAGTTGAGCAACTTATTTGGTTAACTAGTAGTTGACCTCTTTGCCTCATGTGGAGTCTTTGGTGGGAAAGGAAGACACATTAAAGACGGGGAGGTATCTATAAGTTGAAGCATTTGATGTTAATTTCATTTCAATTTTTAATATCTTAAAATTTTGCAGATTCGTTACTCTTTTGTTGATTTTGTAGGCAATTTAGGTTTATATGTGGTAAAATGAGGATAAAGGTTGACTTTTTGTTGATTTCATGAATGTTTTTTTGTCAAATAGGAGCTGAGGTCGCTCCTACTGCCCCATTTGGCCCTTGTCTATATACAATTTCATAATACACGTGATTCAATGCCAGACACCCAGACTGTTTGTAAATACTTTATGAAGGCTATTGGCCCCGTGCTGGTCTGGCCTAAGTGCTGAGGGGGAGTGATTGGAGACTAGCCTAAACTTTGACGTAATTTTCTTAAATATTTAAAGAACCAAAAAGAATTATGGGAGACACCTGATTGCATACTAAAATCAACCTTCCCAACTATGTATGCTAAAACTGTTATATGAAGTACAGGAAAGGCACGAGATGGTGTGACTAAAACTGCCGCATTCTCATAAATAGTGGAAGGGTTGTGAAGAAATAGAGTTCTTATTAGTGCTTTCAGTGCAAGCACCTCTTTAAGATGTTAAATATAACTGAACTTTATTCTTTCAGGCGCTTAAGATATAAGAAACAGTGTTTGGTAAGGGGGAAAAAAGGCTGTGGTAAAAGTGTTTTCTTCTTTTTTTAACGTTTTCCTTAAATGGGCAGAATCTAATTGTTGGTAAATGCACGAGTCTCTAAAGCCACACATAATCCCGACCTGATATATGACTTGTTCACCTCTTACTTTGAGGCTTGAGATGTCATTTGTGCATGGCCTAGTTTAGTTTTTGGTTGTAGGCTTGATTCACACATTTCTAAACTGTAAACATGGAGAGTTTCCAGCAAAGGGTTGAACGGCCAAAAAGGCATTGCATCCTGAACATATTTTTCCAGAATCCTATATTGGCCCTCTTGGGTTTACCAACTCTCTTTGTTTCCTCTAATTGTTGATTTGTGCTTCTATTTCCATGAAACTATTAACTTAAATATAATCTAAAAGGAAATGCTTATTTCCTCTAATATAAATGGTTTTTTTTGTTGCATGATTGGATAATGCTTCCAGGAAGCCCAATGGGCCTTCTGAGAGTTGTGGCCTCTCTCTTGTTTAAAAAAACTTTTTGCTGTTAGTGGATGGTTTTGTTAATTTATATAGATGTTGTTTTACTGAAATTTGTGTGTGTGTGTATTAATTTCTTCCAACCACTCTTAACTCTTAAGAGGCTGATGTATTATGCTTCTACTAAGTTGAACTCATTATCTTGCAGGGTGAGCTAGCTCTAGCATTTGGTGAGTTATTGCGAAAATTGTGGGCACCTGGACGAACCCCAGTTGCTCCTCGGCCATTTAAAGCAAAGCTTGCTCGCTTTGCACCGCAATTTAGTGGGTATAATCAGCATGATTCTCAGGTTTGGTCTATCACATTAAGTTCTCATGAATTTAAGCCGATCATGGATTCAATGCAGTTAACTGGCTGTGTTTAATTTTCTCTTTAGGAACTCCTTGCTTTTCTGTTAGATGGACTTCATGAAGATCTGAATCGCGTCAAACACAAGCCTTATATAAAATGTAGAGATGCAGATGGGCGACCTGATGAAGAAGTTGCTGATGAGTATTGGGCGAATCACATTGCTCGTAATGATTCCATAATTGTGGATGTGTGCCAAGTGAGTATTGCATTTATGATTTAATTGTATCAGAAAGAGCATATACAGTTTTTAACTTGCTTGCCCTTCAAACATCTAGCTTTTCTAATGAGATTAATCTGAGTTATTTTCTGACTAGATGGTTCTTTGCATAAGCTGGATTACTCAAATATATTACTACTATGAGAAATGGTTAATTTCCTTTACATACTGCCTTTTGATGTACCGCATGCTGAACATCTGGTCTTGTTGAATAACATTCTTTATACTTCAACCTAATTCTGGATTACTCAAATATAATGTGTTTTTTTTTTTGGTCACAGTAACATGTATAATAGTGTTTTTTGCATACAAATAATTACAGCAAAATTCCAGTCATAGTGCATTTATAAAGCATTACTTTTATTTATTTATTTTTATCTTATATTTTTGCTTTGATTTTATACTTATATGTTTTTGAGGGATGTATAAATGTGTTTATGTTCTTTAATGCTCAACCTTTATATGCAAATATGCATTAATTTGTTTGTAATAATTGGAACGGCTGAGCTGCATTTCCTTTGATTATTTCCCGATTCTTTTCCCCTTTGTTGTAATTTGTAAGAACGGGATATGTGCTGGCTCTCAGACAGCATTTTCGTGTTTCTCACCCAAGACTTTACAAAATGTGACATACAAGATTTATCGTGACAAATCCTAAAACTAATTGAAAGAATCAAGTTATTAAGAGCTTGAACAGTGTCCATCTAAGAAATAGTCTGATATTAGATAATAAGAACAATCACTTGCACAACTTGACATAATAGTAACCCTTCTAATCAATGTTTTAAAGCTCAAGCAAAAGATATCATTTTTATAATCCACCGTGTTAAATAGACTGTCCCTTCTGTTGGCAGTAATGTGAATTCTAGATGTATCTCTTCCAAAAGTTTTTATTAATTTTTTTTCTCTGTTGCATAATGTTAGTCGTGCTCTTTAAATTTATTATTTATATTGTTTAGGTGCTTCCTATATGCCCTAATGTATGTGTTCTATTCAAGTCAACGGTACTATAGGATATAGATGAAGGTGAAAAGTGATATGGGTTGAGGTACTGACAAAACAAAAAGGCATGACGACTTATGATTTTTTTATTATTTTTTATTTAAAAAAAAGCATGATGGCCTATGATTTAACAAAGGATACAGCTCTAGACGGGTGTTGAATGGCCAAAAGGACTTCTGCATCTGACCTCAAGTGGTAGTTTGGTTTAAGGCTTGGTAGTTGTGAACTTGTGATCAATGTGCTGTTGCACATGTACAGGATAAGGATAAAATTGGATTAGAGTTGTCAGTCGTCACAAAACAATTTGCTAAAGATTAATGATCTGGACCTCTTTTCTGGGACCTTTATGGGAAAAAAAATTGTTTCACAAGTGGAAACTATGAATTGATCTCTACTATTGTCTATCTCCACAAGTTACTCTGTAATGAACATATGAAAATTTTCTTTAGTAATTGGTAGAGAACAGTGGCAGAAACCCTTTAAAGTATATAGAATGCATGGCAAGGAGGGCTCTAAGGCTCAAGGTTTAATTTGGCACATGTTAGATGAAGTGGGGTCCACTTGGAGTCTTTTATACTTATGGGGTTTGGTCAAATTGCGTAGTTATGGTAAATTGCATAAATTATGGTCAAATTGCATCACTCAAGTTTTTATTTCTTTATTATGCTAGAGTCACCTATTGATTACCTCAATTATGGGTAATCCAAGGGTCATAAGTTGTTATAAAATAGTATGTAAACTTGATGACTCGGTGAATGAATGAATAAAAAAGTGTTATGGTATTTCTTGGTGAGTGATTCACAAGATATGAGGGTGTGAGGCCTTCCCCAAGTGTGATGCCTAGACCCTGTTGGTGTGATTTCAATAGACTTTTATTGTTTTCAATCCTTTCTATCTACTAACATCTTGAACCATAACTCTGTTTATTTGAATTTCCAACCAATGAACTCCTTTTTATTTCAACTATTTGAGCCTACCGTTGTCCTACATCAGTAATTCACCTTTGTGACTTGTTTTGACGGCACTTTGTGTGTTTGGATGTGTAGAAGTCATTTTAGCTAGGGTTCATGTGGAAAACTGTCAGTAGAAGGATTAATTAAAATTTCCTCAATGTTTATCTAACCAAGCCTTTTGTTGTAATACTGTTTTGGTGTGTATATAAGGATCAAATATATATGAATTAAATCGTGGTTTAGTAAGATATCTGAGTCTCCTAATCTTGAAGATTGCGATACGATGATTTTGGTGCTCCCTTCAGATTGATTGATCCCTTCCAATTTATGTTGTTTATTTTCTTTATTTATATATTGATTTATATTTTTTCTATTCACCTCTGTGCTTACAACTACCAATGATGCTATTTTCAATTGCTCCCCTGAACTTATGTATGCGAGTTTATCAATTTGACAGGGCCAATACAAGTCAACGCTGATTTGTCCTGTATGTAATAAAATCTCTGTTACATTTGATCCCTTCATGTACCTTTCCTTGCCACTCCAATCCACCACCACTCGTACTATGACTGTGACAGTTTTTACTTGTGATGGAAGTGCTCTTCCTACTGCTTGCACCGTGACTGTTCCAAAGCAGGGACGTTGCAGGGACTTGATCCAAGCACTTAGCAATGCTTGTTCCTTGAAACACAGTGAGAAGCTTTTGCTTGCAGAGGTAAATAGCATTTACTCTCATACTTATGGAATTATGCACATCTTTCTTAAAATGGGTTAAGTTATTTAGATATGTTCACAGATACGAAGTCACTTGATTCACCGGTTCTTGGAAGATCCCTTGATATCGTTGTCTTCCATAAAAGATGATGACCACCTTGCTGCCTACAAGATTCCAAAGTTTGTGAAGAATACAAAATTTCTTCAACTTATACACCGTCGGGAAGAACAGTATGTATATTTCAATCCATACCCAATAGTTTACGATTAGGGTCAGATACACAATGGGCTCTCTTTCTGTTTAGTAAGGATAATGCAACAGCCCCAGCTCCTGACTTTTTTGATAAAAAAGGAAGACCGTTGTGTTTTAAACTCTTACACCAACTCCTTACATTTATTTTTTATTTTTTTGAGCATTCAAAGACTGCAGTTGACTTGTAGTTAGGGTCCCTGAGGCAATTTTTTCCCATGGATGGTTCGGTGATTTCCCTCAATCTTAACACATGTTAATGAGACCATACCAAACAATTTGTAGAGTCAAAAAGGGTTAATGTTGGAGGCGTTGGCACTAGTTGGCTACATTTGCTTCAAAGCATAGACAAATTCCCCTGTTTGGTGTAGAGTGGTTTCTTTATTGAGGTTCTGCCTTTTTTTTAATTATTATTTTATCTGTTCATAGTAATAATAACGTGTGCCTGTTTTAGGGAAGCTGGTAACCCCCAGAGCACAATGGGGTGGAAGCCATATGGAACACCTCTTGTTTCACCAATTTCATGTGATGATATTATTAAGAGAGGTGATATACAGTCGATAGTTCACACAATGCTCTCTTCCATGCTAAGGACCAAGAATCTAGGACATCCTGATACCTCTGATACATACACATCATTAGCAGCATCAGATCCATCTCATGCCACTAGTTCTACTGAAGCATGCACGGACTCCAATGTAGCTGATTCAGTACACAGGGATGATGGGAGTTCTAAAACGGTGACCTTATCAAAACTGCCTCTACAGTTGGTTGATGAAAATAATGCATGCATTGACCTCTCAGTGGGAGAAGAGAGGGCTGTAAAACTGTCCTCATCATCAATGTCAATACTTGTATTTATTGATTGGTCAAAGAAGCTTTTGGAGAATTATGATACCCAATACCTAGAGAACTTGCCAGAAGTGTTCAAGTATGGACCTGTCACTAAGAAAGCTCGTACTGAACCTCTATCCTTGTATACTTGCTTGGAAGCGTTTCTGCGTGAAGAGCCATTGGTACCTGAAGACATGTGGTTAGTTTCTTTTTCACCATCTTTTCTTTCTCTCTATATGCTTATTATAAAGGGAAAGTATATTTTCTGGGGTTTAAGGATTGAAGATTTTTTGAGGGACTTCCTATCAGTTCTCCAAAAAATTGAAAATAACATGAAACTACAATTTTCGTGAATAAAATTAGTGATTGAAAAATAAAAGGCCATCCAGTGTGATCCTCATTAATTTATTAAGTTGGGAGGTAGATTGGACCTAATTCTTGGTATTCTATGCACAGAAAAATAAAAGCTTTTAGCATTGCACCAAGTTGTGACTCTTAAGATTAGTTGTTAAAAATAAATATACATAACCATAACCTGTTAAGTAATAATAAATTTCAAATGTCCATGATAATCGTGGTTGAATCCATGAAATAAAAATTCATAACAGAAAAAGTAATTTTTAAATTAATGGTCTTGAGATAGGTTTCTGTAATGAAGTATCTAATTTTTTTAGTTAATTTAAAGGGTTTTTTTTTTTTAATAAAGGTGGAGGTTCTAATTTTCCCAGAATATATGTTGTTTTTAGTTGGAAAAGAGAATGGCAAAAGTCGGGTGGGGGTATAGATTCAAGTGAATTTCTTGGAAAATAAAGGGGTCTTGATTCTTGATGATGTTTGTGTGTGTGTGTGTGAGAGAGAGAGAGAGAGAGAAGGCGGGATGCAGGGTTTGTCGAATTGTCTGTCCATATGTTGGAACCGTGCTGGATACTCTCATTTTTTGGACTTCTAGACGATTTCCAGATTATTGACGTTATTTTGTTGGTTTGTTAGGGGTGTTGAGCTGTATAGCTGGGGCCTAGATGACTCCCATATACTGCACATTGTGCCTCCTTCAGTGATTCTCTTTATAGTACTTCAAAAAAAAAATGACTTATCATATGATTTCGTGACGTATTTTTGTTAGGTATTGTCCTCGATGCAAGGAACGACGGCAAGCAAGCAAGAAGCTGGATCTATGGAGACTTCCTGAAGTGCTTGTTATCCATCTAAAGAGGTTCTCATACAGCAGGTCAATGAAGCATAAGCTTGAAACCTTCGTCAATTTCCCCATTCATGACTTTGACTTGACAAATTATGTAGCTCACAAGAACAATTCCCGTCGTCAGCTTTATGAACTTTATGCCTTAACTAATCACTATGGCAGTATGGGAAGCGGGCACTACACTGCACATATTAAGGTGAGCAAAGATCCTGTGCAGTTTGTTCTTTTAAGGTTTTTTTACTTCTTTGCAAGTCTTATCTGGTTTTTGTTGGTGCATGGTTGCCGTCAATTGCTGGAGGTTTTGAAGAGAACTTAAGCATAGTATATATCTGTCAATTAGACATTATTATTTAGCATTTCTTTGCTGCGACATGGTTTGGTGTCGGCACCTGTTAAGCAGTTCATTCTTATTAAGGTGTCTGGTGGACATAGATTCAAGACCTTGTAGATATACTATGTTCTGTTCTCCTGGTTTTATTCTCCAAGTGCCATGATTATTAATCTTTTCTTTCATCCTCCTACTATTTGGAAATGTTGTATCCACGAGTTACCCAACTTTATAATTGAAATATCGTTATAGCTTAAAAATTATCATTTTGATTAGTATAATTTTTTCAAATGTGATACTTACCGATTTTTAATATAAAAATTTGCAGCTTCTAGATGAAAACAGGTGGTACAACTTTGATGATAGCCACATATCACTCATTAATGAAGAAGACGTAAAATCAGGCGCTGCCTATGTGCTGTTCTACAGGAGGGTAAAAACCGACGATGCCTCTGTAAGTAATGGAGCACAGTCCTCTGCAGGTCACAACAATTTATCATCTCAAAAGTAGACTACCAGGACATGTATAATTTACAGAAAAGAAAAGTGATATCCTGTTTGTCTGTACACTATTTTTGTATTTTATGAAATATTTAGAAATACACGAGCCTTCCACCGTTGCCCGGATCTCAATGTGTTTAGCAATGGCTTTAAAGGTTGAAATGTGAAGTTCTGATATTAAGTTTGTACTTTGAATTTGAGGCCTTGTTACTTTGAGCTTATTCAGGGGTAGCAATTTAAGTGGATAGAAATCGGGTCACTGTTTGATCAGGACACCGGAAACTTGAATATTATCTATAAACTTAAAACTTGGCTAATCTAGACTGCGTGTGAACCAGGTCCAGACAGAATTTCCTGCAAAACTGTAGGTCCTTGGTGATGCTAGACGTGAAAATTGGTCTCCCTTTAGAACCCTAAGAAAACTCGGGAGTGAAAGTGACTTCACCGGGGAATGCTAACCATGAGCATGATCGCACTGGTCTAAAACAGCCTCTGTAAATGTCGGGATTTGATGATATGCTATTGTGGTAAAACAGCCTTTGCTGAAAAACTGTTACATTCAATCTGAACGACTTCCCAACCGAGCTCATGGAGCCCGAATATGCCAAGAAATTTACCAGCTGGTTCATCCTGTGGAGTAGTCATTGAGGTTAATGATGTGCAGTGCCTTTATAGAAAGTTTTAGTACAGATTTTTAACTGTTATTTGTTTTACCTATCGGGATATATATATATATATATATATTGGAGCGGGATTGGTGGTGATATCCTTTTCGGACCTGATTTTTTTATATAGTCCATTATTGATGTTACATGATCAAGTGAAGAGAGAAGTAGGCTTTGATCCACTTGCTATGTGTATCACAAATATGTGAAATTTTACTAAATTCGCGTGGACCTGATTCTAGTCGACACCCGACCCGACGCGTAAACAAAAATTTGAATAAAATTGACATATTTACTTGCGTGTCAAGTTGTGATTGATCGAAATTAAGTAATCCTGAAGAAAAAAATTTGAATGATGCTAGTTTCTTCATTTAATATGTACTCAAAAGTTGTTAATTAAAATATTTTACTGAGTAATTTTTTTTTTTTATGCTTATATCACACTTCAAAATAAATAAATATCACAAGATATTTTATATATAATAATATAAAAAATTTAAATTCAAATATGTTCATTAGGTTCATGTTACCTAAATGTCATTTGCATGCATTTAAAAAACAGGCCAAACTAAAACGTCAATATGTTAACCTTTCAAGTCCAACAATAACATGCATCATTAAACTAGTTGAAATTTAATCATTTCATGTAATAATGCCTCCTCATAACCATGGCCTTGATTAAAAAAAAAGTGCTCCACACGTAAATACACATACATAAATTGTACTATTTGTTTAATAAAACTTTATGAATAGTATATTATTTATATATTTTATACATTATGAATTATATATAAAGATACCGTGTTTCTTTTTGGAACAAATCAACATTGTTTTGGTAAGAAAGGTCTGCGAAAGAACACCAAAACTGAACAAAACTGCAAATTACCAAAAATGTCAGGTTCAGTTTGAAATATTACCATAACATCAGGATATTTCTGGAAATAAATTAAAATCAATAAACAAAAAAGAACAAATTTTGCAGCCCAGAGAGGAAACAGAGACGACGAGAAGAAGAAAGAAGAGAGATAGAGAGAGAAACAAGAAAGAACGAAGCTCTACGAATCTACACCTCGCAAAGAATACCCTAATCGAAGAATTGGTCGTCTCTCCATATTTCCATGTAAAATCATACATATATATATATATATCTATACATATAGATATAGAACACACATATATCTATATATTTATGTATAGTAAGAGGTGTCGATCTTCACTCAATTCTCAATTCTCAATTCCTTCATCTTCTTCTTCGTCTGTAATATAATTGTGCTACTTTACCATTTTTAATTGTCTTCCAATTCAGATCTATATACTCATAATTGCTCTACTATAAAAGGGCAATTTTGCCCAGATCTGAGTCATCTTCAACACAGTTTGAATTGAAGAACATAGAGAAGTTATCAATGGATGACTTTGGAATGTTGGCCAGAGACTTCGGGTACAAACCCCAAGGCAAATCGATCCCAATGGCTTCATCCAAACCCTACGTCGGATCGGACGTTGGCGATCGACACTCTCGATCATCGTCCTCGTCGTCGATGCCCTCACCATTCGTCGACGATCACAATCGCGACGGTTTGTTATTCAGTGATGTATTTGGTGGCCCTCCTAAATTTGCATCAGCTAAACCAACCACTACCACCACTAGTAATTTTAGCAGCAACAACAACAAATCGTCGTCGTCGCCGTTGTCGGATTTCGATTACGATTCGATCTTCAAGAGCTCGTCGGCGGCGAATGATTCGAAAAGCAAGCCGTCAACGACGATGCCGGTTTATGATAAGCCGGTATACGACGACGAGGTTGACATTTTCGAAGGTTTGCCGGGGTTAAAGAGTAAATCGGCGTCTTCTTCGGTTAGGTTTGACGATGACGTTTTTTCGAGCGTGTCTTCGCCGAAAAAGAGTGCCCCATTTGATGATCTTCTCGGGAATTTAGGCCGGACGGAGAAGGCGGGAGCAAAGAATAGTAAGAGTTCGAGAGGTTTGGATGATTTGATACCTGATTTTGGTGGTGGCAGTCCCCGTGGTAATAACAGGTACTCTAAATGGGTGCTCGAATTCAGCCGCTTAGTATGCTCAATTGCCTGCATATATAGAGTAGTTTAGGAGGATATGATCGGTACTGACATTCTCTGTAAATGATCTATATATTCAATTATATGTGCTAAGAAAGTTACATGTAATTAGGTAGCATCTCATTCAAGCTCAATTTCCATTAACTTTTTGCTAATTTACTGTGTTAAGTGGTAGAGGGCACACTTGAGGCATAATCCTTGCACAATTGGCATTTATTTTGGTAGTTAAGCAACACGCAGACACACACACTCCACACTGCCCATTGTGGGGCTCAAACTGCTCACCTATACTTTAGCGAGGAGAGCTCATACCACTTGGGTCGATGGCCCTGTGGTACCATTAGCATTTTTCTCTAATTATTATTGTATCCTCTGAGTTGGTGATGTAAAATTATCTAATTTTCATGTTGAACAGATTAAAACACTGTAGAACATACTTAAAGAGCATGCGAGGGTCAAGGATTCTATTACAGTACATTGTTAAAATTGCACTCCACATTTTGTATATAGTTTAAGTTTCCTTCTGAATATTTTGAAATTGTACTCCACCAACTAGTAGTGTTGTAAATGATTCTTTTGATGGTATTACTGTGTTTCATGATGATTATTACTGCTACATATAAAATGCTCTCATAAGTTTAATAACATCTGCTTTATCTATATATCAATTTATTTCTTGTGTTTGCACTAATTTCCACATCAAGTACTGCTACTTCTACCAATTTGACATAGCAAAAATGAGGGTCCATAATTTCATTAGTGGAAAATATAATAGGTCTATTGGAGTCATTGTGAGTAAAGTTGCCAACAATTTCTGCATGTGGATGAATCATGAAGGTAGATCTTTGTTTGATCTTCTAATAGTCGGGATAAGATTTAGAAGGTTGTGCGTGTTGAATATTCTTCTAATGTAGAAGAATCACTTTGTTGGTTTAGGGATTATTGAGTAATCATCTGGAGAGAAAGCTTGTATTAAACATTTAATGAAATTGTAGTATATGTCAAAGAGAATGATTAAATAATCGAACTCTAAAATGATTAAAGTTCATAAAAAAAATGACCTGTCTTTCATGAAAGACCAACAATTAACATGAAATCATTATATAAAATCAGCTTTGTTTGTATTATTACTCGATATTTGCAAGTTGAGTTGGAGATTGAGAATATTAAACTTGTTTATAAAATGTATAACTTTTTCTTTTTCTTTTTTTTATTCTATCTTTGGCAAGATTAGTGGACTGCAGAAGACTTTTTTTGTCTATTATTTCCCCTTCTTAATCTTTCTCCCGGCTCTTGACCAAGTTATATCTTAGTGGTTATCTTTTGCTGCTGCTGCTGCTTCCATCCACCCCCTAGTATTAAAGCATTTCCTTTCCATGATGAAATTTGGCCGTTGAGCATTCTTGTCACTTTATCAAAAGGAACGGAGAAAATTTGTGTTAGAATGGGTTCAACAAAGCTTCAGTTGACCTATCTGGCATACTTGGACTTCTAAAAGAAAGAAAAAAAAAACACTTTCAGAATGTCTCGCATTATTATCAATATTATTTTTATTCTTTATTGTCAATCAAAGTGAAAAGATAGACCAACTAGGAAAAAAGAAAGTGAAAAGATAAAAGATAAAAAAAAAAAAATGTTACTAAAAAGAAAAAACAAATAAATGCATTTATTTATCTTATTTGGCATGTAAGACTTACATTGTTTGTGCCAGTAATGTCTTATATTGTGCAATCCTGTGCTTGATTCATTTATATAGTTACTGCAGTATATCAGTATCAGTTGATAAATATATCAGATCCACATTTCTTTATAAACAGGTCATATTCGGAGTCAAGGCAACCCCAAAAGCCAACTGTGAATTCAAGCCAGACAAATTCTAGTGAGATGGAAAACCCCTTTGTAGTTCTAGAATCAACTTCAACCCCTGTATTCTCAACCCAAGAGTCATTCTCTGATCCACTGGAAGAGATTAGTAAGCTCAGTAACTCTGAAAACAGAAAAGCGAATAGTTCATCTATTAGTGGGGGAGTATTTGATGATATAGATCCCTTAAATGGTTTTGGCAAATCTGCACCTTCATTTTCATCCGGGATGAACAACAGGGGAAAGGATGGGAGCCCTTCAAGGACAGGAGCTGGCACGAGTGGGGCACATGCTTTTGCTGGTAAGGAATCAACCGGAAAATCTTCTTCTAAAAATAATGAGAGCCACTCTCAGAAGAAGATGAATGTTGACAGTTTCCAGGGATCTGACCAGACCTTGTATGACATGCCAAGTGCTTCAACAGATTTTAACAAATCTGTTGGTCAAGCTGGATCTTTCCCTTCATTTTTAAATGTTAATTCTAATGAGACAAGTTCCCGGGCAGATATGTCTCCCAGATCGGAAGAAAATGTTGACACATCTGATGATGTATGGCTCACTGTATCAGAAATCCCTCTTTTTACGCAACCCACTAGTGCTCCACCTCCTTCAAGACCCCCTCCTCCAAGACCACCTCGGGCTCGAAAGCCGGGAACAGGTTCCGTTGCTTCAAATGCAAGAAAGCAGGGTAGTGAGTTTTCTTCCCCCCCAAGTTACACCCAGTACTCTCGGAATCCTTTTGCACAGGTGCATCCAACAGAAAAGAGCACAACGGTGTCTCAAATAGATGAACTCGAGGATTTTGTCATGGGTAAGACCCAAAATGTTGATGAACCTACTGAAGTGCATTCTGTTGATGAAATGAATATGAACTCTGCTGCTGCTGCTTCTGCCGCTATGAAGGAGGCTATGGATAGAGCTGAGGCTAAATTCAGGCATGCTAAGGAAGTAAGGGAGAGGGAATACACAAAGGCTGATAGAAGTAAAGATGCTGTGCAAGTGGAAAAAGATGAACAAGCCATGCAAGATGGTCAGGAGAGAGAATTTAGAGAAAACCAGGAGAGATTACATCATGAACGGCACCAGAGGGAAAGGGAGGAGGAAGAGAAAGAACAAAGGAGACTTGAGGAGAGGGAGAGACTGAGGGAGAAAGAGAGGGAGAGGGAAAAGGGCCGACATGCTGTTGAAAGGGCAACTAGGGAAGCACGTGAAAGAGCCGCTGCTGATGCTCGCCTAAGAGCTGAAAGGGCTGCTGTTGAGAAGGCAAGTTCTCAGGCTCGAGAACGTGCTGAAAGGGCTGCAGTTCAGAGAGCGCAAGCTGAAGCCCGTGAGAGAGCAGCAGCTGGGGCTAAAGAAAGAGCAGAAAAGGCTGCTGCAGAAGCTAAGGAAAGGGCAAATGCAGAAGCAAGGGAGAGAGAAGCACGAGAGAAAGCTGCTGTTGCAAGGGCTGAGGCAGAAGCTAGACGTAGAGCTGAACGAGCTGCTGTGGAAAGGGCTGCTGCAGAGGCTCGAGAAAGAGCTGCTGCAGAGGCTCGAGGAAGGGCTGCAGGGACAAATCAACAGAAAAACGATAATGATCTTGAATCATTCTTTAGCATGGGTTCTCGACCAAGTAGTGCACCAAGACCAAGAGCAAATACCTCTGTGAGTATTCAAGACTGTCATCAGAAGTATATATTTTGAGATTATGTTAACTGTTGAAGGTTTTATGGTTCATTCTGTGTGTTGGTCCTGTCTTCAATCCCCAATTTCAGGACACTGCGTCAGATGCCCAATTCCAGAGCAGGGGCGGGCCTGAAGGGGCAAAGAGGACATCAGCTGTTGGAGTTTCATCCAACATGAGGAAAGCATCTTCAACAACTAATATTGTTGATGATCTATCTTCAATTTTTGGAGGTAATATCATTGTTGGTTTTCATATAGTAATACACTGTTGGTCTTTCGCCTGATCTTCCTCCCTCATTTTGCTAAAAAATGGGTTTGACTACTTTGCTTGCCAAAGCTGCTTCATCATCCGGAGATTTCCAGGACGTTGAAGGGGAAACTGAAGATAGAAGAAGAGCCAGACTGGAGCGCCACCAAAGAACTCAGGAGCGTGCGGTATGTGATTTCTGTTGAAAGATGCTTCTAATTATGTTTTTATATGTGAAGTCAATCAAGTGCATATTCTGAATTACGGTAATTGTGTTGTTTAAAATATGCATGCAGTTTGGTCTCTCTGTTTTTTGATTATTCAGTTTTTTATTCTCAGGCTAAAGCACTTGCTGAAAAGAATCAGCGTGACCTTCAAACTCAAAGGGATCAAGAAGAAAGACATGTAAGAGCCTTGGGCATGTCATACAACATGTGTGTTTGTCGTATGTTCTTCCTGTCCTACTTGACACATGAAAGCTTGTTTTCCTCTTGAAAGGTTAACTTCTTTAGATATTAAAGGGCAAAATAGTAAGTTCAAAAATCTTACCTGTTGAATTGGAGGGGGAGGAGGGTGGGCTATGCACAATTCCTTGCTCTTTTCTCTTTCCCTCTCAGAACTCGACAAGAATCCCTTACTCTTCTCTTCTCCACCTCATCTACAATGATACTTCCATGTGCTGTCAATTCCTAGGAGTATCATTGACCTTCCAAATCATCGCCATCAACCATTTACAGGTCATTTGCAATCATCTCACCGACAAGAATCCCTTACTCTTCTCTTCTCCACCTCCATCTACAATGATACTTCCATGTGCTGTCAATTCCTAGGAGTATCATTGACCTTCCAAATCATCGCCATCAACCATTTACAGGTCATTTGCAATCATCTCACCGACCATAATCAAGCATCACCGTCAATGCTGGCATACTAATATTTTGGCTAGTTTGCATCCAGCCAATACTATGCCATCTCGTCTATTTCTCTTGTCCTGTGTAGAGCTCATTATTTCTTTCCTCTGGTAGCTCCTCTGGCCGGTTCTTTTTTGACAAATCATCTTGCATTTGTTATAGAGTCTTGTGAATTGGGGTAAATGAGGAAGCCTCTTGAAATGGTGAAAATGTTAGCATTTAATAAGTTGGATTTTAATTTTTTGGGGTAAATTTTTGTCTACCAAAAAGTGTGAAGTGTGCAAGAATCTTTTACACTAGTACTTAGTACCTGCTTGTGTAAACAAGAAACCAGCTTGGTTCTTGTGTTTAATTTATTATTTTAGTTCCTGATAATTGATAATATTTTGGAAAACTTCTATTGTTTATATATATATATATATATTTAGTCGTAGGAAAACTTATAATATATTATACACTAGCCAATTTCCTTTCATGCATGTATGCATAAAAGGAAATTGACTAATACTGATAAATTATGCTTTTATACATGACATATCGTTGGCAATCATACTCCACTAGTCAGATCCATTGGGTAAATTGCAGCCTTTTTAATTAATGTCTAAAGGAACAATTACCTAATCAAATGCGAATCAGGAGGTTATTTATCCCTTAGAATTGACAGAACATGTATATTGTTTTAGAATTCACTATTTTTTATAAAGACATATATAGGGTGTTCTATTATGCAGCAAGTCATGTTTAGAAGTTCTTGGTTAATAGAAGTCCAAGGGGAAATTCGATACTTAGGTACTTTTGTTAGTTAAAAAGTTCCATCTACCAAAATTGTTAAGTTAAGAAGGATGACTATACATAAAATGTGTAAATAAGTACTTATGAAGAAATAAAAATATCAGCTCATTTGTTTTGAGGGAGCTGAATAGACACCAATGAGGTCTGCAACTTGGTTTGAATTCAGTAGAGTTGGGATCTACCTATAACCAGAGCTCATATGTTCAACCTAAAACTGTTGTGTCTAATTAAAGCAAAGTAGTTTTAGGTTGTGTCATATTTGGTAAATGGTTTACTGATTCAAGTGTCAAGTCGTTACTACATCTATTTTAGATTTTAATTGATTTATAATGTGGATTTTTGTTGTGGGGGCTGGTAATTGGTATGGAGATTTTGTTCTTGTTTATTACCCAAATAAAATTGCAAGACACACCCGTATATATGAAATACGTAAGTTGTCATTTCTTTGATAGGTAGAGGTAACTAAGGAATCATTTTGTAACTTAATTGACTCTAGATTGGTTCTCCAATTGGATTTTATATTTCTGTCTCGATTAAACATTGAACCTTGATAGCAGCATGCTAAACAATACTAGTTGTGTAACAAGTGGAATTATTTCATAACCATTTCTTAGAAGCATGTCATACAAATTATTGTTGATTATTTATTTTATTTCACTCTTCAGATATTCATCACATTTATCTTGTTTGTGTGGGTTTTACCCCTTGCCTACGGTAAGACTTGCTTGACATTAATTTATATAATTTATCTGTCTAATCTTGATATGCACTTTTCAGAGAATTGCCGAGACTTTAGATTTTGAGATCAAGCGTTGGGCTGCAGGGAAAGAAGGAAATTTACGTGCACTTCTGTCAACATTGCAATATGTATGTGTGATTATCTTATCTCATGTATATTCTTTTGCATGTTTTTTGTAACTACCGCGATGCTTACTAATTATAGAGTATGTCTCTCTTCAAATATTTGGTTTCTTTTACCTTGATTACATTAATCTTCTTTCTTGCTGGTGTAATACTTGCATGTAGTTAATTTTTATCTTTTCAGTGAAATCAAATGTCCAGTTTTCATATTGTTCCTGTTGGGATTTGTGTTTCAAATTCCTACTATAATTTTGTTTCTATTTTAGAGTTATATTATGTATGGTAATTTCTTGTTTGGCAAGTATTGGCCTCTAAGAAATTGTAATCCTTGTCTAACGAGGAATTGGGTTTGGAACTCTATAAATAGATACATAGGCTTTGGGTTGAGACTTAAGAGATTGAGAGGGATGTAGTATCACGAGGGAGTTGATGGGTGGAGGGAGTATGCGGGTTAGTAGAGTAGGAAAAACACCGGTGATGCTGGTATCGAGGAAATAGGCTCGTGGAGTGGTGGTGTTGGTACTCTATTGTTGTAATATCTCTACGAATCATAGTGGAATCACTTTGCATCTATAGATGTAGGCTGGTTTTGGCTGAACCATGTATATCTTGTGTTTATGCGTAATTGTTTTGTTGGCTTTCATTGGATCGTAGTTATTCGCGCACTTCCGCTGCCCCAACAAATTGGTATCAGAGGATTCAGAGCCAAAGGTGAAGGAGATTCAAAAAACACAAAAAGTCTCAACATGTGCTGCAACGGGCTTCAGTTGTAGATGGAGTCAATCGGCTTAGTTACATGGCATGAAACTCGAGTAGTCGAGATGGAGCCTTAGAGATTTGATTGATCGAGCAACGTATAATGTGGACAATCGGAGTTTTGCTGGAGTATCGTCAAGATTGAAGCTGCAAAAGAATTGTCATGATCAATGCCATGGGAAGCGATGATTGGTTGGATGAAATTTGAGCCAAGGTGGAGATTGTTTGGATTTGTGTCTCAAATTCCTACTCTAATTATGTTTCTATTTTAGAGTTGTATTTTGTTTGGTAATCCTTGTCCAACAAGGAATTGGGTTTGGAACTCTATAAATAGATACATAGGCTTTGAGTTGAGACTTATGAGATTGATAGAGATGTAGTCTCATGAGGGAGTTGATGGGTAGAGGGAGTATTTGGGTTGGTAGAGTAGGAAAAACACCGGTGACACTAGTAGCGAGGAAATAAGCTCGTGGATTTGTGGTACTCTATTGTTATAATATCTCTACGAATCATAGTGGAATCTCTTCTCATCAATGGACGTAGACCAGTTTTGGCTGAACTATGTATATCTTGTGTTTATGTTTGATTGCTTTGTTGGCTTTCATAGAATCTTAGTTATTCACGCACTTCCGCTGCCCCAGCAGTTCCACTTGTTGCCTGTTTTGGTGATTCAAAAGAAATGGGCTTTTGATCTAATTATTTAACTTCATTAATAGATGAAAACATTAATATGGATAAATTTTCATTTAGTTATAGAACATTGGTTGACATTATTCAGGGCTGTTAGATTTAAACAAAATAAAATATCTAAGCCTTGTGAACTCTTCAGAGAGAAACAACTTACTTCACTTTCTGCCAAATCAGAAGCTAAGATTGAGAGCATAAGTAGGCCTGCATGATCTCTCTAGCTAAAAATCGGTAAATAAGGCATTGAATTAAAGCAACAATATAAACATAGAGAAACTTATCAAAAAAAAAAAAAAAAAACAATGTAAACATAGAGAATGCTACCTACAATTGATAGGTTGTAGTCATTCCAGAAAGTTTGCCAGAATATCCTTTCTAACAGTTATTATGGGTTTGGGGTGCTAAATTGAAGGCCAAAAGGTAAATGAAATGGTTAAAGTTGATTTAGGTTTGATATGGTATGGTTTTCAGATGATATTTGAGGTTTTTTTTTGGCTGCCATAATAACCTGTCAATGGTAATTAAAGAGAAGACGACCTGGAAGGAGATGATGAATCTAGGAATCTCACCTAAAATTTCTTAGGCTCCGTAAAGGAAAAGAAAATTTCCAAGGTGTATTTGATTACCATGAAACCATTTCAAGAAAATTTTGGGAAATTACCATTTTATGGTTTGAATACCAGGAAACTTACCATAAAAGAAAGAACATTATGTAAGTTCATAAAACTTTCTAAAATTTCCGTGTTTTTTGTAGGAAATTTTTATGGAAAATTATGGAAAGTATGAGGTCATCTGCAAAATTCATGAGTTAATTTGATCTTCTCACACCTCCAATGGAATTTGAAGTCTTGGTTAGTGGCCCCCCTTCATTAATCTGGCATGCACCTCCATCCCAATGACAAGGAGTTAAGGGGATATAGGATCCCCTTGCCTAATACCCCTTTCCCTTTAAATAAGCGAAATAACTTCTCATTGAGTCCTTACTGAGGATCAGTAGCTAGGATTAATTCAACAGGTAACGGCGGATGAAATCGAGAAGGTTGTGCTGAGTTTTAACTCAAATAAAGTGGGCATCTTTTGGATTTTGTGGATGGCATGAATTTATAGTGTCGTCTTGGCCGCCTTTTGTATTCTTTTGGTTTAGTGCCTTTTATTGAAATCTTGTCAAAAAAATCTTCTCATTGATTTTAATGGAAAAGGAAGTAGTCGTAATACATTGTTTGATCCAATTAATAAAGATGAGGTGGAAACCAAAGGCTTTGAGGGCTGCAATCAAGAATTCTCAGTTAATAGTGTCATTAGCCTTTTTAATATCCACCATGAGAGCATATCTGAGAGGGTGAGAATCCTTGTGATATTTTTTTGAAATTATCCTGGGCTAATAATCCAGAACAGATATAAATCTAGTTGCTAAAACTTTGGAAATGCATTTATATATGGTGTTGCAGTGTGAAATAGGGTGAAAGTCAGAGATATGAGTGTGGTTAGGCAACTTTGGAATTAGAGAAACAGTTGGAGCATTCACTCCCTTAGCATGCTGCCTGCAATGAAGAAATATTTCACTGCTTGAATCACTTCTCACCTATGATATTCCAACAGTTTTTGAAGAAAAACGCATTCAGCCCAGCAGGACAAGGGGCTTTCTCCTCCTACATAGAAAACTTAGCCTCCTTTATCTGGTCAGCTGTGAGTTCCTTGATAAGCTGCTCCTCTGGCATTGCTGGAATATGATTGGAAATGTAAGAGAGAGGCTCTTCTGCCATGACATTGCAACTGTTACCTTCCTTCCCCAACAGATTTTGGAATTAATCAATAATAGCTAACTCAATTCTTTAGGATCAATGAACATTTGACCACTCATCTGTGTACATCTTCTGATTAATGGATTTCATGAGATAACTGTTGTTCTGATCTACAACTTTAAGCCGGTGGATCCTTGATTTTTGTCTCAATAAGCTCCTTCATCCTTTCGAAGCTTGCAAAATTGAGCTAATGCATTCTTTTCCATGTGATGCAGAGGGGGTTATTTGGATCCTTGTCCAGGGCTTTTTGTATTTCAGAAGGCTGATGTTTAGCTTCAGCAGCCTTAACTGAGATATCCAGAATTTTTTCTTTGCTTGGGACTTCCAATTCACCCCTAACATTGTGTGCCAGTGATAGAGCATAGTTTAATTTTATTTGATTGAAAGATTACCCAAATATCTATAGGCTGATGATACTAGGACTTGGCTTCTAAAATAGGACTTTTGATACTTCAACAATTAAAAACATTCTAGGCTGCCCAATGCATAACTTCTATCTGATACTAAATTTACACAAAAAGAAAGGGGAAGAGGGGGCGGTGCTACCTAATGGCATAGTTTGACCAAACATTAGATTCTTGAATCACTGCAATAATCCATGTCCAGCAAATCTAGAAATTGGCAAAGTATCTCAATGCCAAGAATATCAGAAACATAGAGATTGAATAAGCAGCCTATTAACTAAATAAACTTAAAGAAGACTTGGATATAACCACTTTTTGATCCGGCATGGTAAAAAAATTGAGCCTCATTTGACATTCCTGAATTGCCTCTCTATTGTTCACATGCTCTGCATCAGGCTTTTCAAGGTAATAAATTTTAGGCTTTGGCTGTGCACCATAATTTTTGCAGGCACTCGTGCATATTCAAGTTTTTGAATTTTGCACATGTGGTCAAGTCTACATATGACTTTGGAACTACCACTTGGGTATGAAGGCCACTTATTCTCCTTTAGCTTTGGTTACTTAAGCCAATTGTTGCTGGTGGCTTTGTACAACCTGTAATGGCTATAAATTTCTGCCGGGCAAGTCTTGCCAACAGCACATCTGTTTAAATGACTATGGAATCTTAGTTATTTAGGATCATTTGGGTTGGGTTCCATTTCTGCGCATTCTTAGTGAGTGTTTGCTTGAAATCATATTTAGACATTTTGATAAGGAAGTCAGCTTCCACCATGAATGATTAATGCTATATGATTGAGACGAAATTGTACCTTCACTTCTCAACTTGTCAACGATTCTTTATGATTCAATGAAACAACTTCTGATAATGATGATACCAAATTTCCTGCTGTGCCAGTTTTCAGAAGATACCTCATCTCTATCATTAATCATTGTCAGGGTTCAAAGTGATTATTATAGCTCAGTGGATTCTTATAAGTTTTTATTTGGCATCTTCAGCCACACTGGTCACTCTTGTTCGTGATCCTGGCCTGAGGGATTATCATTTTAAATTGTTTAATCATGCTGGCATTCTGCATCAACTAAATAGCACATTTGGTAACTTCGTTGATTTAGTGGGTCCTCCTTGTGACAGAGACTCAAGCCCATTTTAGATGGTTGAAAAGTTAACAATCTATGTTAGAGTGCTTCTGAAATAGATTGTTAGTTGACATCACAATCCACGGTAACATAGAAGATCCCAATAAATAGTAATTTGTTGGACGAAAGAATATTTTGTCGATGTCGTTATCTGAACTACAACCTAACTTGAGATCCGCCCCATATTCTTTTTCTATTATGAGTAGAAATCTCCATCATATTTCTAATTTTAATAAATATATTTTAGAAACCCTGCATTTTAAGTGGTACTGCATGATTGCATTCTATTTCTCTATGAAAGCATGAATTGTAGGTTTCCAATCACCACTAAAAATTAATAACACTTACTCCAAAACTTGTAAGACTGAACTTGTGGTCAATTTCTGGTAACGGCATAATTTATATTTTGTTCTATCTTTGAATTCTTTCTCCAGATTCTGATAATTTCTTTTGGCATTTCAAAGAATTGCCAATTTTTTGTTTATCTTTTGTAGCATGCTAATTTGTTTCTTGTATCTGTTGATAATGATTAGGTGCTATGGCCTGAATGTGGTTGGCAGCCAGTTTCTTTGACTGATTTGATTACTGGTGCGTCGGTTAAAAAAGCTTATAGAAAGGCAACTTTGTGCATCCATCCTGATAAAGTGCAACAAAAAGGTGCCAATCTTCAACAGAAATATATTGCTGAAAAGGTGTTCGACCTGCTGAAGGTACTGCTATCAATATTTTGGTCAATCTAAACTGTTATTTATCATGGCTATCGTCAGTTCATGTTTTTTATGCTCATTATGGAATATTTTGAGAAAAGCGTCTCAAATTCAAAATGATATTAGTATATGCCATTTTTCTGTAATCTGCAGTAATGTATTCACTTTGAACTGTTTAGTTTCAGCATCTGGTTGAGGTTACTGTAACTTTCTTAGTGTATCAGCACCTTGCTAGCCACAGTCGCCCATCTGATTGGTTAAGGAAACCCAACACATGATGGTTTCCCCAATCCATCCTATCACCTGATGGTTTCAATTTTTTTTTTTTTTTATTTGGTTTTAATCAATCCTATCACGTGTTGGGTTTTTGTTGATGGTTCCAATCAGATGGGCAATTGGAAGCCACAGTCGCGCAAGCGACTGGCTAGTAAACCTCATGACTTTTTGTTAAAGTCATGATGATATTTATTATCATTTTTAAGTTCAAGAATTCCCTTTTCAAATGTAATTTTTCCACAGTAATGTGTCGAGAAGTACTTCTATTCATTGTTCAGTCTGTTCAGCTTTCTCTAATGTGCATTTTGATATGTTCAAAATAGGAGGCCTGGAACAAGTTTAATTCAGAGGAGCTTTTTTGAATGCTGTATGATTTTGAACTCCAATTTACTTCATCTGGAAAGTGCACCATTTGTTTGGAGAGGAAATGCATCCATCCCCTATGAAGCAGAAGATATATTTAGTCTGCTGCAATTCTGCATTTTATTGGTGTTGCACTGTGTGGATTGTCGGGGATTTTTGTTGCTGTAAATTGATGTCCGTGCTGGAGATATATACAGGTACGTGAAGCTGGAATGACTGCTTGGTGTAGAGTAGCGTTGTTCCCTATGTCATATTTGGTCAACAATCTCATTTGCATGAGATGATAATTGTTTTCTATCCATTTTTTCCTTCCATTTTTTTTTTAATTTCATTTTCTTTTTAAGCTTGATATCTCAAACGAACACGAACACGAACACCGATATGTTTATTGTATTGAAATGAGCAGTGTATTATTGTTGAGCCAGAAATTCAACGAGGTTGACCATACATCTATATATTTTTTAGATTTCGCGTTTTGGTTTGAATTGCCAGCAGAATCAGTTACATGTACTTTTCCCCCCTTTTAGTACAATTTTTTTGGAGTTTTAGGCTCCGTGTAAAATATTTTTTTTTGAAAAATATTTATTTATTTTTACTTTTTCGATGTTTGGCAAATGCTTACGTCGAGATTGAGTTCGAGTCCATCGGGCGGGGTATGTAAAATAACTTGTCAAAAATTGATAGATAAATTATTTTTGGTAAATTTTAATATATATATATATATATATATTGTAAATATTTTAGGACAACTAAATACCAGAAAATAAAAAAAAAATATTTTTTTTAAAATATTTTATTTTCAAACAAACGGAGCTTTAGTCAATTCTGTATCTATGATATTGTGATTAGTATTTTTTCAGTTCTTTTTTGCACTATATAGAGCTATATAGTGGCTTGAATATCTCTGCTGTTTTTGCGCAATTGTCAAATCCATCTAACAATAATAATAATTATTATTATTATTTGGATGTATTTTCGCCTCTTACATGTAATGCAAGAAAGTTATCATTTTGATAAGTTACCATTTATACTTTGGTAATGGAGAGAAATTTGACTTTAAATGTTAAAAGTAACACTTTCCTTTTGTCTATGTCAACGAATTCTGTCAAATTTCACCAACCGCACAGGCATGCGGTAAAGTGAGCGCCAAATGCTGTTACTATGTGATAATTGTTTGCCGGTTGAAAGTGGGTAAAATGCAGAAAACACCTGAGCTCCGAGTGCGCTTCTGTTTCTAGTCTTATGTTACAGCGCCTATACTTGGCACAACACTTTAACCTGAGGCACAATACTCAATATGCTCTTACGCTACACGTGTGTTATCGCTTCTACTCTTACGTTACAATGCCCTATACTTGGCACAACACTTTTAACCTGAGACACAATCCTCAATGGATGTTTCTCTCAGAGCGTGTTTCTGCTCTTACGCTACGCGTGTGTTATCGCTCATATTCTTACTATATGTGACTTAAATTTTGCGACTCCGGCTCTTGAATTCATTTCCATTCCTGCTTTATATGACTTAGCTTTTAATCCTTATTTTAAAAATTGTGTTACCAATTTCCCTTATTCTTTAAAAATTGAGCGAAAACACCAAAGTTACATAAAGCGGAAGCGCGAGAGCGGCATATCCCAAAAAATCTTAGAGCGGGAGCGCCACTAAAGCGCTGCATTATAAATATATAAAATATTAATTTATAATAGTAAATATATGTTTTAAATAAATTTCATGCAAATAAAAAGACAAAATAGTGAATCAAATTTGAGTCCATTATAACCAATATAACCTGCTTTATAAAAATACATAAATTAACAAACATGACAACCTGCTTTAAACTCTCAAGATGACAATTATTGTTTTTGAAATAACAATGTTCAAAAGTGTATGAAAAGTATATGAAATAGCAGAGCGAATATGAAATGATGGAACAAGAATAAGACTATAAAAGTGAATCAAGAGTTAATTACTAGTGAAAGAAGTTCAAGAATCACAAACCCAACACTTAATAGCAGAGAAAAAATTGAGAAATCACAATCAGAATATAAAAAGTTATTCATTTATTTCTTTCTTTACTAATAAATAAGTATTATTAAATATTAAGTATGTTGTTATATTATTTGATTTTTACCTATAAAGGACAGAGTTTACTTAATTAAATTAAATTGATTACTTTTTTACATAATTAACCTTATTTGGTCTATTTAAGTTGGGGTAAAATCGAAATTTCTCAAAATTCAAACTAAATTTGTGAATTTATTATCAAAAGTCGTCGAATTCTTGAACAAAATACGAGATTTTACTTTACATAATTCGTCGAATTGAATTTTAAAAACCAGCGAATTCTTAAATTGAATTCGTGAATTCAAAAACATAAGAGCATGAATTTTTAGCGAATTCACTCTCAAAATGCCAATTCGCGCGCGGAGTGATGGAACGCCAATGGTTTGAGGGAATTATGTGACTTTGGAAAACACTACTCAAAGATTTGACATGAAGTAATATTGTATGCTTGTTTTGTCTTTTTTTTTTTTTTCTCTTTTCGAAAATGTTCAAGGGGTGTATGCTAGTAATTTCATAGGAGATGCGCGCATTAACTATATTTAAACACTTTTTAAGGATATTTTCACCTTTCAAAAAATATATATATTATCTTTATATATTTCCCCTAATATATTATCTGTGCATTAACTCTCTCTTTGAGTTTGATGTTTTACATTTTCTAACATTTAATGTCACTTATAAGTTAGAAACAAATGGAGAAAAAAAAAAAAAATTATTTGTTATCACATATGTATATCATATGGAACGAAAACTTTAGTTTTTTTTTTTTTTAATAATTTTTTTTAAAAAAAGAAAGTAAAATTTAATATACTTATCATTTTTCATTAAATATATAATTAAAAAATTAATTTAAAGATACTTATTCATTATATATATATATATATATATATATAATTTTTTAAAGTTTGGAATTTGCAATAAATTTTCACACACACACACACACACACACACACACACACACACATATGTATATATTATTTATATAGCAACAAATGGGTGTTCAATCTTTATTAGAAGAAAAAAATTCTCTACTGAAAAAATAATATAAATCCGCCTCACTGCCCTCTACTTAAATTTTCACGCGCGCACGCGCACACACACACACATATATATAATTTATTAGATAGCAATAAATGGGTGTTCAGTCTTTATTTAAAAAATAAATGGGTGTTCAATCTTTACTTAAAAAAAAAGAAAAAAAAAAAAGAAAAAAAAAAAGGACCAAATTGGTGCCCAATCATCCCCACCTTAAGAGTGTTTTCCGCACTTTACCTTACTTTAGCGGTGTTCCTTTTTTGGCATTTCATAAAATGACTTTTTTAAAAATAATGTGTAACTTGTCTCCACAAGGGTAATTTGGACGAGTGAAACTTATTTGCACAAATAGATGCTTTAGGGTTGTTTTGCTAATTGAACGATCCAATCTGTCCTTCGCTAATTGAAGCAGCATTGTTTGCACTGCCGTTCAAATTCTGAGCACCTGAAACTTCTGAATAAATTGGAGGTGAAATGCAAAAATGAAAAACCAAGGCCACAACAATAGTACCGAGAAACAACGTTTCACCACATGCCCATCCAAGTAGAAAAAAACTATAAATAACATAAATCTAGAGTCATATAATTATAACAATTTCAAGAATGAAAATGCCATGGTTTAATGTATGTAATATGGGCAGTACAGTTCAAACTTTTATGCTACTTTTTCCCACAAATATAAAATAATAGACTTGTAGAAAAAAAGACGGCGTATAAAGAAATATCCATTGTCATACAGCTACATGTCTATATACATATCTCACATCTGTATGTAATGCATATACACAGAGAGGCAGCAAAACAAAGACATACTATATAGTTTGATAAAACCGAACTGAAGTCATAGGTTAGAAGAGTCTATTACGTACAGCCAATGTAACAAAACTTTGATGCTTTCCTACAAAAACTCATTAGCTATATTACAACTTCAAAAGTATTGCATCCTTGACACTCGATGTACAGTGCAGTCAACTCGAATCTAGTTTTGATGCAGATCTTGGGTTTCAATCTACATCCCTTGTTAAGATGTTCTCCATAAGCATCTGCTAACCGAATCCGCAACAAGTCCAAAGTAACCTAAAAGGCCAAAGCAACCAAAATAGTAAGAATCATATTCCAGGATCTCTTTCATGTCTGTTAATGCATTTGTACTACTTATCACAATAAAAATCTTCTATTCTTCGTGGGCATAGACAGAGCAGGACATGCAGTCACGAACATTCCAAATCCAGAAACTAATAAGGAAGATATTAAAAAGCTGCAGAACACTGAAAAGTTCCAAGGATGAATCTAACTGAGGCGCATGTTCAATAAAACAAGCAAGCATGCATATTGAGCTAGATATGATCCATGAATTGTATGCCAATTTTACAATATTCAGCACATTTTAAACTCAATTAAGCCTTTTTCTCTTTTCTTTTTGTCAGAACCGCTTTAAAATTAAGTATAAAGTCTACTAAGGGACCCACGAATAAAGTGGTGGAGGAACCTAACATACTTCATACTTGGAAGTGAAGTTCATGAGGCTCCATTTGTTTCATTAAAAAAGAATTCAAATAAACAAACAATAGGAACAAAACAAAGAAGTAATATACTGTCACTGCAAAAAGGTTTTGTTACATGCAGAGTTTGATTATAAAAATTGCACAGAAGCAGAAAATTGGAATGGATATCTGGTATGACAAACAGGCCTCTAAGTCGCTTACCTAAGGCATTAGCTTTTTTCTTTTGAGGTCCATAAACAAATAATGGAAATTGTGAGACTTTGCTAGTATAGGGATAATTACAACAAAAAGGAGATTTAAATCACAATGAGAACATGATATATTCATCTAACACTGGTGTAAAAGTTAAAAATAACCTCTTCACAAAATTTATGTTATAAGCAATCAACATTTCGGTTCACAAACATCATAAGGTCCCAAACCAGTATCATATAGAATTGGTTGCATGCAGACATAAACAGATCAAGAAGAAATAGTGGGACCTCGTTGTCTCTGTTGAGTTTAAGTTCACAAAGGGTGCAATAAATATGACAGTAGTTCTCTTGCAACTCTCCTTGCTTGCAGATGGGGCACCAGATCACCTCGTGCACCTATTACCAATATTAAAAAAAGAAAAAAAGGAAAATTAACTTAACGAGTTCATCGAGTCTGCAAGTTATTTGGGATGAAGAAAGCAGCAATAGATGGATATTATTCTATAAATACTAAAAAAAAAAAAAAAAACTTGACGTCAAGATACTTAACAATAGAAATAAAATCATCAGATAATGGGGGGGGGGGGGGGGGGAGAAGAAGAAGCAAACAGTGACTTGTTACACAAAATATGAGAGATTTGTCAAAAAGGAAGCAACTAATAGTGTTTCATATGTTGAAGTTACAACCTGCATAAAACTCAATCTGTGATTTTAGATGGATGTATAAAACTTTGTGAAATCAATTGCTTGAAGATGACTTTAAAATGACTCCTTGAAATTGGAGGTACTAGCAGCTTATGGTAATTAACGGCTGTCTCCATGGGTTATACAATAATATCAACAAAAATATTTGTCACCAAGCTCCCATCCTTTCTTCCCTCCCTCCCACCCTCTCTCCCCCTCAATTTGCCAATATTTTAGTACCAGACTGTTTTTCACAGAGAAAGAAACTAAAAATCAAACATCCCTGATAAAAAGCTTAACAATATTCCTGACATAAGGGTTTTTGTATCCAATTAATATAGATATGGTTATAGCATTTGCAATATTTTTTTTTTTTTTGGGGCAAAAATAGATTTTGTCCATAAATAAATACTTGTATTGAAAAGAAAATACTAGCCAATCCTAAAGTAATGTACATGTGTTTTTTTTGTTCCCTTCTTAAATGTTCATTATTATTATTTTTTTATATGAAGCTATATGGGCCCCAAGTCAGCCATAAGAATATCAAAGTTGTAGAAGTTGGTTTCAAATGTAAAGCAATGGGATTTCCCCCTGCAGCCAGTCGTCTAATATTTTCCTAAACCACAACCTTAGATACTCAAGACCTCTTTGTTTCTGAGCACCACATATATAGACAGGTAAATGGAGAAAAGTTCCTCTATTGCTTGAGGTATCCCCTAAACACAATGTCTGATAACAGAATCAGATCTATGAACCTTAAAGGCAATTATGTTGGTCCCGCTTACTAAGAATAATGGGAGGGATGGATTGGAGACTGTTGGAAATCATATCTATAAGTTGACTCAATAATTGTGGCAGATTTATTGGGTCTTCATTATAGGCTAATGTTTAGGGATTTTATTTTTATTCTGATTTGATTTTATTTTCTTTATTCTGATTTGATTTTATTCTCTTTTCCATATTTGTAATTTTCCTCTTGTATGCTATTAAATTGAGTACGCCAATTTTACCAAGTTACTTTTTGATATCAGAGCCTCAAACCTACGCCTCCCCCCTCTCTCTCTCTTTCACCGCCTCTTTTGATCTCTCTCTCTATCTCGTCACAGCCCCTTCCCTATTTCTTTTTCCCTTTTCTTCACAGACCCTCTCTCTTCTTCAGGCCGCTGTTGCGAGGAGCCAATCTCCTCTAGGTTCGACCCCTGTAGGGGTATTCCCTTAATCTTTTTCATGCACTAAGGGTCCGAAGACGTGTTTGTAATTTTTTAGGGCTGCCGGGATATTCAGCAGCATTTTCAGATCAGACCGCCGTGTCTCCGGCTTCTTAGTTTGATCAAAATCAGGTTTATTCCTCCTTTATTTGAAATTATTGGTGATCTGTTGAATTGTTCTATTTAATATTATGGCTGAATCAAGTAATAATAAAGAAACTCTTTTTTCGGCGCAACACACACTGGCTCAACGAGTTACTAGTGTGCTGTTGAATGGCCGTAATTTTGCATCCTGGGCTCGTTCCCTCCGCCTCTATGTTGGTGGAAAAGGCAAATCAGGGTGGATTTTGGGTACTGAAAAGATGCCAGATATTAAAAATCATAAATATGCTCAGTGGGATATGGACAATTGCACCATTTTAGGATGGATGTTTAATTCTATGGAGGAACGCATTATAATATATTCATGTTTTATGACTCTGTTAATGACTTGTGGACTAATTTGAATCAAATGTATGCTCGTTCTAGGAATGATGTTCGTATTTTTGAATTATACCAAGATATTGCTAAGGCCTCGCAGGAAGGCCTGAATTTGTCTATAGCTGATTACTTTGGGTATTTGAGATCTCGTTGGGAGGAACTAACTCAATATGAGCCTCTCAGTCAATTTCCTTCCACGATAGCCTCTCTTCTTGTCAAACGTTTTGATCGTCAATATACCTATCAGTTTTTTATGGGATTACACCCAGAATTTGAACCACTAAAGTCTCAGATCTTGAATTCATCACCAATGCCATCCCTGTTGGAAGCCTTTGCTACTGTTGATGGTGAAGCACGCAGGCACCGTTTAATTCAGCCCTCACTTGTTCCTCAACCAGTGTCTAAGCCTGCTGGGGATAGTATGGCTTTTGCAGCCAACTTTGGATCACGTGCTTCTGGAGGTTAGATTAGTTGTCACCATTGTGGAGGGGTTAGACGTGTTAAGGCTCATTGCTTCAAACTTCATCCTGAACTGAAGCAGAAATTTTCTAGGAACTGTTTATCTGAAACTGGTTCTTCTCGTACTGCAGCTGTTGCAGAGACTTCTGTTACTACTGGTGGATCTATTGTATTTCCTGGACTGAGCCAGCTTCAGTCTCAAATTGGGCAGATCCAAGACCAGCTTGGCTCCCTTGCTTCTAGAGTTGGTACTCCTTCAGCTGCTCCCACTGCCACTATTACTATAGGTACTCCTACTGCATTTCATGTTAAGGCCAAGCAGCCCACTTGGGTTCTAGATTTTGGGGCCAATGATCACATGACTGGTGAGTTATCAGTTTTTTCTTCCAATGTCATACCTGTTACCCAATCTGTGTATCTTACGGATAGCTCTACATCTTACATTCACAGTAAGGGTGATATTTGTCTGTCTCCTGATATTACTCTTTCATCTGTCCTTCATGTACCTAAATTTGCCTTTAACCTTTTATCTGTTAGCCGGTTTGCAAAAAACCACCAATGTGCAGTTATATTCTTACCAGATCAATGTTTGTTGCAGCACCTTTGTGCGAAGACGATTTTTGGCAGGGGTTATGAGTGTGACGGGCTTTACTACTTTGGGGAACCACCAGGAATGAGACTTCAAGCTTCTGTCCTACCTACTTCTAGTGTTTATGATGTTTCTTTTCGCACTTTTAGTCTGTGGCATGCACGTTTGGGTTATGTAAACTTTCAATATCTATGTCTATTGTTTCCTTCGTTAAATAAAGCATGTAAGGACCATAAGTTTCAATGTGAAGTTTGTGAGCTTTCTAAACATACTAGAACTAGCTATATTTCTCATATGAGTCATGCTCCTAGTATGTTTGATCTTATTCATTTTGATATTTGGCCCTTCCCCAATTACTGCTTTCACTGGACATCGATATTATGTGACATTTATTGATGATTATTCTCGTTGTACTTGGGTTTATTTATTGAAAAAGAAATCTGATGTGTTTCTTTTATTTACCCAGTTTCTTCAAATGATCAAAACCTAGTATAACACTGTTGTCCGTCATATTCATTCTGATAATGGAAGTGAATATGTTTCAAATGAGTTGCAGACTGAACTTAATAAAAAGGGGATTTTACATCAACTCACTTTGCCCCTACACTCCTGAGCAAAATGGCATGGCTGAACGCAAAAACCGTCATCTTATGTCTATGGTCCGATGTCTTTTGAGTGGTATGCATGTGCCTAAATTCTATTGGCACATGGCTGTTCTTACAGCTACTTTTTTGATTAATTGTACTCCCAGTCGAGTTTTAGGTGGTAAGGCCCCACTTCAGATTCTCTAGCCTGATTATACATTGTTTCACCTTCTGCCTCATGTTTTCGGCTGTACTTTTTTTTTTTCATAACCGTAGTCCTTCTCGTCATAAACTTGATGATAAATCAATTAGGTGTAATTTCTTGGGGAATTCTGCTATGTTAAAGGGCTATCGTTGTTATGATCCTGTGGCCAAACATATGTATCATTCTCTTGATGTGACATTTCATGAAACTATTCCTTTTTATAGTACTAATTCTGTGGTACAGGATTCTCTCTCTTGTGGTCTGGAGAAGGAGATTTCTCCTATTACTCGTCTTGTTCCTCTCTTTGAAAATCACACTGTCTCGGAATCTCCTTCTCCATCCATGCAGGGTTCCCCTCCACCTTTGCAGGTCTACTCTCGTCGCCATCGCACTCAACCTCCCCTGCCAGAATCATCTTCAGAACCAGGTCCAGGTAACTCTCCTTCTCCTATGGCTCCTACCATTCCTGAGGATACCTCCCGTTATCCTACCCGTGATCGTCACCCTCCTAATTGGTATGGTTTCTCTAGTAGCATTAACCACCCTATTTCCCAGTATGTCTCCTATGATGGTCTTTCAGGTGCATATAAATCCTTCCTGGGCAAGATTGGGACCGTTTCTATTCCTCGATCAGTGTCAGAGGCCCTCCAGGATCCCAATTGAGTGTTTGCCATGACAACAGAAATGGATGCTTTACAACATAATAATACAAGGGAACTTGTTGCTTTACCTGCTGGGAAGAAAACGGTTAGCTGCAAATGGGTCTTTAATGTGAAGTACTTAGCTGATGGTTCTATTGATCGGTATAAGGCTCGGTTGGTGGCAAAAGGCTTTACTCAGATTCCGGGTAAAGACTTTGGTGCTACCTTTGCTCCTGTGGCAAAGTTGACGTCTGTGCGACTACTTATCTCCTTGTTTGCGGCCCATTCTTGGCCTCTGCATCAGTTAGATGTCAAGAATGCATTTCTTAATGGAAACTTACTTGAGACTATATATATGGATCCACCCCCTGGATTTCGGGCTGAGGGGGAGTATGCTGGGAAAGTCTATCGGCTGCAGAAGTCTCTTTATGGTCTGAAGCAATCTCCTAGAGCTTGGTTTAGTCGTTTTAGCGATGTTGTTTTATCCATGGGCTTTGTGCGCTACCACTCAGACCATACTTGTTTTATTCGACGTCGCTATGATGGTCGCTGCATTACGTTATTGGTATATGTGGATGATATCATTATCACAGGTGATGGTGCTTCAAGGATTGCTCAGGCGAAACTTCATCTTCAAAAGTCCTTTGATGTGAAGGACTTAGGTCCTCTTCGATATTTTCTTAGAATTGATGTTGCTAGATCCCGTCGTGGAATTTATCTCAAAGGAAATATATTTTGGATCTTCTTTAAGATACTGGCATGCTTGGGTGTCGACCCGCTTCCACTCCTATGGACTCCAATCTCAAATTCTTTGTTGAGTCAGGGGAATTACTCTCAGATCCATCCGTGTATCAACGTTTAGTAGGTCGTCTTATCTACTTGACTAACACAAGGGCCGATTTGACATTTGCTCTTAGTGTGGTTAGTCAATTCATGCATGCCCCTCGCTCAGTTCATATGGATGCAGTCTACCATATTTTGAGGTATCTTAAGTCATGCCCTAGTCTTGGTCTGTTCTATGCCTCAAGTAATCAGTCTGAACTCTCATGCTTTACTGATGCAGACTATGCTGGATGTAAGACAGATAGACGTTCTACCTCTGGCTTCTGTACTTTCTATGATAATCATCTCATATCATGGAAGAGTAAGAAGCAAGCTGTTGTCTCCAAATCCTCTGCTGAAGCTGAATACCGAGCTATGGCTCAAAGTACTTGTGAGCTCCTTTGGCTTCAATCAATTTTGGGAGAGTTGGGTCTCGTAGAGAAAGGTTCTTCAAGGCTATTTTGTGACAATAAATCAGCCATTATGCTTGCTTCCGATTCTGTTTTACATGAAAGGTCGAAACATATTGAGGTAGACATTCACTTTATTCGAGAGAAGGTTCGATCAGGTATCATTAATCCTATTTTTGTTCCCTCTTCAGAACAGACTACAGATGTATTCACAAAGTCTGTTGGGCCTTCTCTTCTCCAGTCTTCAATAGTCAAGCTGGGCTTGGTCAACATATTTGCTCCAACTTGAGGGGGAGTATTGGAAATCATATCTATAAGTTGACTCAATTATTGTGGCAGATTTATTGGGTCTTCATTATAGGCTAATGTTTAGGGATTTTATTTTTATTCTAATTTGATTTTGTTCTCTTTATTCTGATTTGATTTTATTCTCTTTTCCATATTTGTAATTTTCCTCTTGCATATAATGATAGTCAGGCTCTCAAATTGAGTACGCCAATTTTACCAAGTTACTTTTGAGACAAATCCATAGTTCAGTATTATATTGCACAAAGTGGCTATTCTTGAACTCAATCTTGCCTTCCCATGCTTGTCAGCTAAACCCATTGCTTCAAGGAATCGCCCCCATATCTAAGAAGCCTGAAGATGGGAAGTGATGCACTGATGGAAATTTTGTAATCTCCTCAGAATGCACTCTGATACATGGACTGTTAAGCTGGTACCACAGTTTTTCACAAAAGACATACCTTTATCATCGCTTAATAGCTGATAAAAAAGATGATATATACTCCAGCTAACTGAGAATTATGTCAGAACTCTGGGAACCCATGGAATGGCATCAGTAATTGGATGGGGATTAACCTCCTTATATACGTTCATCCCAACAATTTTGGGAATAGTTTGTACATATCTTATTTTTCTTTTCCTGAATAGGTGGCAGTTCAGTAAGTTTAGCACTAGTAACTTTTGGTTGTCTTAGTTACGTAGTGGCTGCACTTTTTGTTTATCTTTTGTTTTAAAATATTTCCCGTGCTTACCAAGCCAAAGGGGGGTTGTGAAAGGAGTAGGAGTAAATGAACCTCTAAATTGGGGCAATGCATGTGCACCATGGGCATCTTTTTGCCAACAAATTCAAATACTTTTTATCACCAATGACTGCATTGCATGGTCGGTATTAAGTTAATAATTTCCAACAAATTCAAATACTTGATATCACCAATGACTGCAATGCATGGTCAGTGTTAACTAAAAGCTACCCACCTAATTATTAACAATAAATATTTTCTACATTACACTAATTGTACTAGGCAGATATTTGGCTCATGAATTATTATTATAATTATTTAAATCAATAAATAATTGTTGGATATATTACGACATTTGTGGAGACAACTTCATACGTAAAATTTCATGGTTGTGGCTATTATACCTGCTCGTCATTCAGATGCACATGCTCACAAACTACACGAGCTAAGTATTCATATTACAACATTTGTGGAGACAACTTCATACGTAAAATTTTCACGGTTGTGGGTATTATACCTGCTTATCATTCAGATTCATATGCTCATACACTGCACGAGCCAAATACTCATCTTCTTCATCTTCCCATATTCTGGTATGGTTTTCTGATTCTGCAAGAAGTGAGGTAAGCATTATATTTTTGAAACTATGATTTGATCAAATATAAGCCTTAAAGAAATTTTATTTATTATTATTTTCTTTTAACAATAAAATTCCATGTTTGCTTTCCCTAATTCTGTCAGTCTCAAGCAATAATGAAACCATTACAATATTTAGAAAAACATCACACATTGAAAAAGTAGAAGGGTTACCAAGGGCCTTGTGGTCTAGTGGTATCTGCTCTACCTCCCAAAGTGGATGGCGAGGGTTTGAGTCCCCAAAGGGGCAAAGTGGGTGTGTGAGTGGTGTTTGTGCGCTTTTCTTGCCAATGGAAAAAATAATAATAATAAATAAATAAAATGTAGAAGGGTTGGTATATCTGTTTGGGAGGGCGCAACAGAGCATAAGGAATACACTGATATTAGTAGGGTTATGCGAAGAATAATTAATTAATAAGTAGGCTGATACGGTTGCATATGTGCAGAAAATCTCCCTATTGTTTCAGTTCACATTGCAGCATTCTCATAATTCATTTGCAAGGTAGTTCAGCCGAATGTACGCTAATGGAGATTTTTATAAAGAAACCCATGAATGTCAAAGATCAAATTGAAGTCTTTTCTTTCTTTTTTTATACCTTCTTTTTTTTTAATACCTTCCCAAAAAAAAAAAAAAATTGAACTATTTATACCTCTTCTGCTTGGTTCCATACCAATATCCTCGTAAAAGATCCTTTGCATTTCTAACAATATCTCTTCACATTCCCCTTGATAAGCTGTATGAGTACCATCATATTCCCATATTGCATCATTGGCTTCAAGGGCAGTTGAGGTCCCAAGAGAAATCAAAGAATAGTCTTTAATTTTTTTTAATTCATCAGAAACTATATCCTGGAAGGTTGATTTGATAAACTCCTGCAACCAAATAAATTTAGTAAATAGGTAACGAGAACTGAAGGTTTTCAACCAGATGACGACATCTCACAAAGAAAAGGAATAAGGTCCAAATAAGAATATAACTCGATCACAAATATATTTATATATATAAGAAAATAAATAATCCATGGATTTAAATCTACATTAATCAAGAGTTATTGTATATAATGAGACTGTGATTATAATGAGAAATCGATCTTTATTAATAGATAAATAGGGTATAGTTTCTTCTCCCCTCCAGGGTATTTAGAACGGTGAAGCATACCTAAATTTCTCTGGAAGAATATATTCACCGAGAAACAGGTATAGCCTCAATTCTTTTCCACTTTTTCAGAGAGTTTGGGACCTTATAAAGCTTTACCTAAATCTTCTGATAAAATAAAATAAAAAAGAAGATAAGTACAAAGCATAGATTCCTTTGGTATGTGTAACAAGAAGGATATGAAATATTACCTTACAAAATCTTACAGAAAATGTTAGACATGCTCAGATTGTTTATAACAATGCTCTAGATCATTTTATAAAAATTGCAGCAATCCACCATGCATGAGAGGTTCACTTTATTTTTCTTTCTTCTATTTTTATCTTTAGAGATATTGAGAAGATCTGTTGGCTTCACTATGGGATCAGGTGACTTGGAAATTTTCTAAGAGTACATGAAACGACTTGCTGAAGGGAGAAAGAGAGAAAAAGTGGTAGGCATACTAAAAGTTTGGTGAGGTTTCATAGTTTATCATAAAGTCATAAACATCAAGTTTAGAATGCATGGAAGTCTACTTTGAATTTGTGTACCAATTAATGAGGATCAACTATTCATAATTGGCTCCAGCAAGTTTTCAATCAATGCAGGTATGCTAAACCCTGCACAGAACAGCGTGTATGCTTCTTCTCTAAATAAAACCATTTGGTGGTGCCTGTTGCAGAAAGCTATGCTTTCAGGAGCACAAGGCACAACTACAAAAATCTATTCAGATGTTTTCCCAATTATCATAAAAATACCCACTTTTCCGACTTTTAAAGGAGCATGAAGCCCTTCTTCCTTGAAATTAGCAGTTAGGAATTATCTGACCTACCATGATTCTAGAAAAGAATGAAAAAATATAATTCATGTAGCGGACCCCATTCATATGGGATTAAGGCAGGGATGATGATGATATGATGACCAAGGTTTTCTAAGGATCCCTGCTGTCTCAAATGTCAAAACATCAGGTATCTTCTTCAACAACAGTAATAACGGGCCCAAATTTTGTATTTCCTTGCTTGATAAAAAAACCCCAAACTCTTACCCCTTTCACACACCCTTACTCCACAGAGAAAACCCATACATTGAAACTTTAGGCAACAAAAAATTGATAATAATTAGCCTCAGTAACCATTGTTAGTGTTGCCATATACCAATATTTGTATCACTCTCTGTAGGATTTCCACTTATTCTACATTATTTAAAAAATAATGAATAATAAATAATAAATAATTAAGAGCCTTGCATGTGCAAGGAGGCGGCTAAAGTCAGTTGACCACATTTGGTGCATCCTAACATGCCAACAGCTAACAATTTTGACCCTTTCTGGTCCATTAAGATGACTACATTCTGTTATCAAGCACCGAAGAAAGCAAGTCCTCTAGAATAATCATCCAAGGACAAAGCATAAGAAACTGTTTTCAACCACAAAAACTTTGTCATGCCTGATATGTCCATTTCTCCCAAAACCCAAATCTTCCACATGCCAAGGCGACACGTTGAAGCTGCAATCACTTCTCACCACTGAGTTTCCATTGTGGGGTCAATCTTATACTTTTTTTATGAATCTACTAGTTGAAACAAAAAAGAGAATATTTACATAGAACGTTATATGTGGCAAACTAGGTAAGATATGCAAAATCTTAAGTTACAAATATAATATATATATATATATATATAGAGAGAGAGAGAGAGAGATCTTGCCGGCACAATAAAGGGAGCGTAAATATAATTTTCTGGACCTGCCTATACAATTCAGACACCAATGATAGTATTTAACAACATGACGATAATACTTTAATGATGAAAAAGATGAAATATAGTGATGTCCCACCTTCATTGAAATAGTGAGTTCAACTGATGCCTCAATGGAATGAGTAGATGTTACTGTAAATTTTTCTTTAAGCAAGAACCAACACAACTAAGGATATTACGACTTCTTATATCAAATTTTTAACCAATAAAATTTAATAGAAAATAAGGAAAAGCAAGCTAAGATGCTTTTTGGATATAGCATCGTATTTTTGTTTTATATTGCATTTAAAATGATCTTTAGCATCTGAAACAAATTGATTAAAAACAAGAGATCATATTAAGATAAAAACAAAAATGATTTAATCTCCCCGCCTTGTCATCATCATCCTTGCCTTTATCCCGTACAGACAAGGTTGTTTAGGTCGACCTCTTTGTCTCCATATCCTATCATTCCCATAAATATTATTATATCAATACATGCATCCCATAGATCTTATCTTTTGGAGGCACGTAGATTAGCTTCATTAAACTTCCTTATCTAAGTTGGATGTTTTGTCAAAATAGAAATCTTCAATTCTCTTCCTCTTCTTAAGCTGATGGGTGCCTTTTTAATATGCACCAAGAAAGTGTTGAGAGACTATGTCAGCATATATACAAACTACTCCTACACAAAGTGCTAGCCATCAGGGACTTGTCCTATATAAAAGTGCAAAATGTACCCCATACCATGACTTCTATCAAGATTTATGAAACAATCATACAAAAACCTAATTATTTTTGTTTATTACATATACAAATATATTCCTGCTTATGACCAATCCAGTTATCTTTAATACGGGCCTACCGGTAGTAGATAACCCACTCGACGGTCTGTTTGACCAGAATGTATTAGATAATCTAAAAGAAAGACTCATATAGGACTACTCTTACAGTCACTCAACTTATTTAGGAAGCACAACCCATCAATGGATAGTCACTAACAGGTAGTTTAAAGACCCAATAAATAGTACACCCCACAATGAAAGCATATCAAAACAAACTATTACAAAGACAAGACAACTATAGTAACAATACAGAAACAGAACAATATAAGAAATGAAAATCAGGAAAAAGAACCTTATCACTGGGAGATTGGTCCTTAGTCTCAGGTAGCCTCAATTTCCAAAGCAAGCTTGCTCGATTCTCTCGAACCCTTTTGCAACAGTTTTCTCTGAGCTACACTTCAACATATAATTCATCAACTTCCCACATTATACAGATACATAAAAAATATATAAACAAAAAGTCCAAAATTCACATACGTGTGCATAAAATATTATTCAATTCTCAAGAAAAACTTCCCACAAATTGCAACATTTTATGAATTAAATATTCAGTAAATAACAGTTAATGAGTTGGGGAAATTCAGTGAGAAATGGATAAATATATCAATATATAATATTACATAAATTAATCGTGATATGCATCTTCCTCAAACCTCAACAAATGATATTAAGAAGGCATTAAACTGAAAGAAAACCCAAATTAGACATTACCAATTTGTGTGTATGTATATGTATATATAAACAGACGAAGAGACATACCTTTTCTTTCCAATTGGGATAGTTATTAAAATTAGGATGGTTTTTAAGTGAAAGTCGTCTTGGGGTTTTTCGATCCTCTTCCTCCACCATACCTCTGGCTAATTATATGTACTCTGTGTATGTGTGTGTGTGTGTGTGTATATGTGTGTGTGGAGAGAGAGAGAGAGAGACACAGATGAATGACTCGCCAGAAGAATTGAAGATGCATTGAGGGTAATTAATTTGGCGCCTTCACGGTGCGGGTCCTGGTTCACGGACTTTAATGGGTCGGGTTTATAAATGTCCAGAAATGGATACAATCATACACGGGTCTGTTTGGTATCGTAATATTAATCATTTTCATTTTAAGTTTTCTAAAAATGAACACAGTGAAATAATTATTAAAAGGCTTAGTTTTGATTTCTAGTTTTTGAAGCAAGTCAAATTTACTTTTAATAATTTTATAAAAAAGCTTGTATAGACATTCCAAACTGGATTGCTTTGAATAATTTTGAGAAAAAAGAAAAAAAAAAATTCTGTTAGCAACATTTTCTATAGACAATTGGGCAACCATTTTTTTTTTTTTTTTGATAAAATTGCGCAACCATTTTACTCCCTTTGCTCTTCTCTTTTTTTCATTCAAAACTGGATGAGGATCACCTTTTGCTCAACAGTTTTGTTACCAATGTCAATACAAGATGTTGGGGCAGAGCTTTTTTTTTCTTTTCTTTTCTTAAGAAAAATAATATTTGCACTCCACTTAATTTTCAAAAAAATAAATAACACAGTAATCAGTTGAAAAAGGATAACTTTTTTACTTTGAAAAAGATAAATTATTATATAATCCGGAATCATTAGTCTCGAGAGAAATTATTAGGTGGTTCGGAACAACTCCTCATTTATGGTTCCGCCAATAATGCTTTGTGTGTGGCTTTCATTAATAAAAATATTATTACATAATCATGGCCAATTATTATTTGACATCCAATCAAAAAGTTTTATAAAACTTATACATTCCTAACACATTTGCTTATGTATCAAATGGTGATTGACTCGGGACTATGTAATAATTTCTCCTTTATTAATAAAATTTACAATTCAGCAATTTGCACACGGTAAGAAATGGGTGTGTTTAGTTTCTCTCTTCAATTTTAACTTCGACTTTTTCTTTTAATGTTAGTTCAGTAATAAAGCTCTTAGCTTATTTTCTAAAGATCTTTTTATTTTTAACAATGACAATTGATGACATGAATAGCAAATATGTTGATAAAAATTATGCCTTTTTTATTAAATATGTTGATATCACAATTGATAACGATGAAAATATAATTGTAGTTGATGATGATGATGATTACCCTTATACTACATTTCAAAAAATTGGAATATTAGTTTATAGTGAAGAATAAGTATATGATCTATATAATATTTATGTCATAAATAAAGGTTTCACTATTCGAAAGATAACAACTATCAATGACATGAAGGCACAAGTGAATAGCGTTGACATTCATTTTTATGTTAATGCAAGGGATTTAAAGAAGATGGTGCCCTTTTCAAGAAAAAGAAATTCAAAATTTATTTACTATAATTAGTTGCAATGCTGTTGTTGTTTTCAAAGTGAAAAATAGTGTGTGAAAAATAATGCAATTCATTATTGAATATAATCATTTACTCGTAAAGCCTGAGCAAAGGAATTTGTTACGATCAGGCAGAAAGATAATTGATACTAGTGCATGTGTTATTAGTTTCATAGCCAAAGTTGGCATAAGAGCAACTAAGGCATACTTGTATTTATTCAAAGATGGTGGAGTTCAAAATTTTGGGTTTATAAAATGGAATTGTCACAATTTTTTACAATCCCAAATGTCAAAGGCAATAGAAGCAGGCGATATCTAAAGTCTTATCAATTATTTTAAGTGTAAGCAAGCTAAAAACCCATTGTTCGTTACAATAAGTGGATTTTCAAAATCGAATGATCAACTTTTTCTAAAGAGATTGTTTCTCCAAGTTAGATTATCAATGTTTTGGAGATGTCATCATATTTGACATTTCTTATCGCACAAAAAGGTACAACATAATTTGTGCGCCCTCTGTTGGAGGAAACCATCATTGGAATAATATACTCTTTGATTGTGTATTTTTACAAAATGAGACCACAACCTCTTTTGTTTATTTGTTTGAAGAATTTTTTGAGGCAATGGGGAAAAAGGCACCCCAAACAAACTTCACTTATCAAGATGTAGCAAGCGGAATCGCTTTACGTACTTTGTATATCTCAAACACTGTAACTCATAATATTTTCACCTTTTTTTTACATATCTGGGATTTAGAGAAAAGTTTACAAAACTATTACATGGTTGTGAAACGGAGGACGAGTGAATGTTGACAATCGGTTGACCAAATTATATGACCTATGTGAGAAGTGGTGCCAAAATTTTAGCCACAATACATTCTCTAGCAATATTAAGTAAACACAAAGAAACAAGAGTACAAATAATATTTTTCTAACAAGTTTCTCATAAAACCATGACTCTTGCTAAATTGGTGCAACATTATGAGGAAATTGCAAGATGAATCCGTGAAGCTTAACTGAATGATGATTTTTCATGTGCTAGAGGTAAATCTCACATGCCAATACCTAATAATGGTATTTTTAAGGGTAAAGTGCAAAAAACCCCCCCGAACTATCAGGCAATTGCAAAAAACCCCCCTGATTTAACAAATGCCCCCCTGAACTATTTAAAAGTTGCATATGAGGACAACAGTACCATTTTCGGTGCCGAAAAAATGAGATTACCAAACTACCCTTTAGTGTTACGGTGTCGTTTGGTTTAGATTTTGTATTATGTTGTCTATGTGTCAAAAAAATCTAAAGAACCAATCAGAAGCTGACAACACAATGCAACCTTATCATCTTATCACTTATCATCACCCAACCACCACTCATTTTAGCGCCAAACAATGTCTGTATACAGCGGGAAACAAACAGCTCTTGTACAACTCTGAAACAGACCTTACACTTTAACACTTTAAGATCCATACATCTTGTATTCTAGTGCACTGAAGACGACTTTGAAATAGTCCTTTTGTAGCTGTAATACCCAGTCGTTTAGCTATCTGGCGCAAGGGGTAAATACTTATGAACTTAATAATTGATTTTGGTTTTTAATCTTTAAAAATTGGGTTTTATTTTGGTCTTTATTCGTTAATTTTGAGTTTAATTTTGGTCTTTATTCTTTAATATTGGTTCTGATTTGATCTTTACGCCTTAATATTGGGTTAGATTGGGTTTGATTTTGGTGTTGATGCCTTAATATTAGGTTTGATTTTGGTCTTAAATCAATAATATTACACTGTATAAACCTTGTTGGTCTGTAATGGTAGTTTGTTACCTTCAATGTGTGTCTATGTGTACTTCTGTAGCTGATATATATATATATTATTCTGAGTTTGTTTTTTGCTTTGTCTGTGATAATGTTCGGTAGTGACAGATTTTATAGCTTTTATATGTTGGTCAGAGAACTTTTATACGTGGATCTCATATATGCTTTTCAGATTTTATGTGATATTGAAGAGTACCATTTGTTTGTTTGTAACTATAATGAAGTTTATGTTAGGGGTGTGATAACAATGTGTGTCTTCTTATGTTAGATTCCCTTGATGCAATTGTTTGTGGTCCTTTATTCTTTTTCAAATATCCAACCAAGGTTCAGTTATGTGTAGAAATTGTTAGTGTATGTATATTCCTTTTAGAGTGGTTGTTGAGTGGTCCCTTTTGTATTGGATATGTTGACTAACCCCTTTTGTATTGATTATTTTGTAGAAATTCTTATGTTAGATTCCCTTGATGCAATTGTTGTGGTCCTTTATTCTTTTTCAAATATCCAACCGTTAGTGTATTTATATTCCTTTTAGACTGGTTGTTGAGTGGTCCCTTTTGTATTGAATATGTTGACTAGCCCTTTTTGTATTTTGTAGAAAAGTGTCCTTTGTTTGGTACAGGTTTTTCTGCTAAAATTATCTCTCTTACTTTATAATGAAGCATGAAAAGTGTGAAACTTTTTTTTATTGATTATGACTGTGCATACTTCCTATTGACATTACCATTATAATTGCAACATAATTGACTTAAATATTACTAAGTAAATAATTTTTTTGTAGATGGGTATATTATATTGCATTAGGTTAAACCATGGGGGTGTGTTTGAGAAAACACCCCATATGGCTTATATAAGAGGGAAGATATCTTATTTTGACAATGTAGATCCAGACAAAATGTCTTGCATTGAGGTGCAAGATATGGCAGACCAACTTGGGTATGGGAAGATTACTAAGGCTTATTACAAAATGCCTAATGCTGAAGAATTGAAAGAACTAAGGTCTGATGTTGAAGTGTTGAAGATGTTTGAATCTCATGAGGCATATAAAGAAGTCAATGAAATCAATATGTACATTGTTGCACCACAGTTAATGGGAAAAGAGATCTATGTAGAACATCTTGAAGAAAACAATAACAGCCATGTAGATGCAATAATTATTGATTCAGAGATTGACATGCCTTTTGAAGCTGCAAGTGATGATGATGACATTGATGAAGCATATATGGATTTTGCTGAAGTGGAGTCTGTATATGCTCCAACTGATGAGTTGAGAAGCTTACCTGGTTCAGATGATGAGATTGACAATGTTATTCATTCCATCCCTAATAGTTGGGAATTTTTGCCTTCAAGGGATCTGGGAAAAATACCTCTACAAATTGGCATAAGGTTTGCATCAGCTGCAGATTTTAGGCTTGCACTTAAGGACCATGTACTTAAGGAAAAGTTGGATTTTAGGTTCAGTAGAAATGATGGTGATAGAGTCTCAGCAGTGTGCAAGAATGGTTGTGGCTGAAGGGTACATGCTAGTAAACCAAGTAATGAGAATTGTTTCATAATCAAAACATTGAGCCTGGAACATAACAATTGCTTGTGAAGTCTAGCAAATAAGTACTTGGAGCAAGTGAGATTAAATCCAAACATGGGGTATAAGTCTCTAAAGAGAACTATTGCAGCTGATTATGACATTGATGTCTCCAAACATAAGGCACGCAGGGCAAAGAAAAGGGCATTAAGCATTATTGAGGGTAATGAAGCTGAACAATATTCCAAGTTGAGGGATTACTGTGCATTGATTCAAAGAACCAATCCTGGAAGTCGT